TCATATAGACCTATTATATATTTACACTCCTACAGTGTTTTTGTTTTGTTTCTGTTTTTTTTTATATAAATGTAAATTCTCACTGAGTCACTTTTCCTCTCAAGCCCTTTTTTGATGTACGTCATTTGTAATATTATAGTCAGTATCGAGTATTGCTATTGTTCATTTACACATCTGTTCAGAAATATATGATGGTACATGACAGATTTCATCATTTTTAGTTGGCCACTCACCCTTCATAATTCAAATAATATATGTATGAAAAAATCCAGTTATGCCAGTTTTTCACTATGCTATCTACGCATATAGATTTAATATGATTTTCCCACAATCGACGTTCTCTGATCCTTTGGAAAGAAGGGAAATTTATACTGAAGACAGACGTAGAGGGAACGGGAGAGGGGGAGGGGCAGACAAGGCAAAAGGGAAGGAGGAGATGGAAATTTAGATACAGACAAAAGTGAATAAATAAATAAATAAATAAAATGTAACGAATTCATAAGCCTATTTCTTTATAACTTTTAATGTGATATTTCATTATTATATTACATTAGTACATCGTCGCTCTAGCAATATCAATATTATCTCTTATTCAAAATAAATCATAATACAATTAATTCCGGAGCATGATTTCCATGGCATCCGATGCCCATACACGGTCCACACGCGTCTTTTCTAGCCTTCACTGGTTTCCTCTAACGTAATGCATTGACTTGAAATCTAACCGTCAACCAAAATGTTCTAAATAAATAACACAACTTATATTTTCCTCCTGACAATTGACTTTCGCTCGGAAGAGGATCGGTCTGTCGAGTGATAGGTTAGGCAAGGTCAACGTTAAAAAGGTCTACGTGTGTAGAAGGGCCAGCCCGGTGAGAAAAGCCTTGGAAAATACTCGAAATTTCCACATTGCGCTCTACCACGGATGACGTCACTACATGCGACCTTGCATCCGTAGTCTCAGTTCGCGACACGACCTTTCTGTCACACAGAGAGATTTATCATTATGGAAATCGTTCATTCTTGATTCTAGCAATGAAACCAAACGGGGCATTCTAATTTGTTTTCTAGGTTCCTATGGTAACTAAAATGTAGTAATTTACTACATTTTTTTTTAAAAGAGAGCGAGCTTGTGTCTTATTCCCTTCTTCTTTTGAGGCTTTTAAATACTTCACAAACTGTATCAAATCGATGCTAACAGTGCTAGGTTAGCCCCAACAAGAACCAATCAATTGATAGAAAATTATTCAAAACAAAGGAGTGTCTTTATGGAGGTGTAATATCCCTCAGCATTTGCTTCCTCATACTAATAGAATTTTATGTGTACCTTAGAGCGTCTCCCCATAGCCTCTTTCACCAGAACTGACTCGATGTCCCATATAAACATTATATTATCAACAAATATTGTACATTAATAATTGTAGCTTTGATTGCGGGTATTATACTTAATTGGTAACCTAAATCCACTGTAGGCTTAGATTTGCTGAACATTCGTGTGTTTCCGTAAATTCGAGTCATACATTACGTCAAACAATCAGGAAAAACAAAAACAAGTTTCTGATGTTATTATCTCATCAGGGGATTTTATGCCCTTACGCTTGTGCCCCCAAGTCTAAAGTGAAAGAGGAAAACGATAGTCAAGAAGTATCAAACGGGGCATTCTAATTTGTTTCTAGGTTCCTATGGAAACTCAAATGTAGTAAAAAGAGAGCGAGCTTGCGTTTTCTTCCCTTTTTCTTTTGAGGCTGTGAATGCTTCACAAACTATATCAAATCGATGCTGCTAGGTTGGCTCCAACTTGAACCCATCAAATTTAAAATTATTCAAAGAAAAGGAGTGTCGTTATGGAGGTGTAATATCCCTCAAATTGTGCTTCCTCATACTACTTTTAGAATTCAAAATGTGTCCTAGAGCGTACCCCTCCCCCTCCCCTTCCTGAAAATGAATCAATGCCCAATTTATTGTGGTAACCTAAATCTACTGTTGGCTTAGATTTTGCTGAACATTCGTGTGTTTCCGTAAATTCGAGTCATACATTATACGTCAAACAATCAGGAACAACAACTAACCAGTTTCTGATAAAATATCTCATCAGGGGATTTTATACCCTTACGCATGTGCCCCTAAGTCTAAAGTGAAAGAGGAAAACGATAATCAAGAAGCATTTTATTTATCATTTAGCTGTGAAAAATGGTAAAACCCCTTGTCCCTAAATTCCGATCTTTCAATTGAACTGAGAACTGCGTGTAAATATCAACAGTAACTTCATTGTGTTGGTGCATTCATTTCCATGGTGATAATAAAAATCAGTGCCACCCTGATCCGGGTAACATGGTTTTGATTTTTGACTGAAAGGAATCGGAACGTGGTTACCATGGAGATAGGATGATCCCTGGACTACAATGTTATGATCATAATTAGTGATAAAAAGAAGAACAAAAAAGAAAAAAAGAAGGAACGATCACAAAGACTTTTGTAAAATAGAAATCACGTTCAGATCTACGTCATACGTTTTTATAATGTTCGCACATTTCGGTATTGAAAAATACTACAGCAATGGCATGGTTGATTTTTCAATCTGTTTGCAATGATGTTGGAATATGGGAGATCACCGGCGCTTCCTATAACGAGATATTGAATGGAAATAGGGGGTGGCGAGGGAGGGGGGGGGGGGGGTATTAACGTAATGTTCATGTGAGGCGGGAGATAGTGGAAGTACATGTAGTAGTGGTCGTAATAGTAGTAATGGTAGTATCAGTAGTAGTAGTAGTAGCAGCAGCAGCAGCAGCAGTGGCAGTAGAATATTAAAAAAAGCGGTAAGGATAGTAGAAGTGGTAGTAGCAACAGCACCAGTAATAGTAGTAGTGGCAGTAGCAACATCAGCAGCAGCAGCAGCAGCAGTAGTAGTAGTAGTAGTAGAAGGTACATGTAGGTAGGTAGATAGGTAGGTAGTAGGAGTAGTAGTACTGGTAGTAGTAGTAGAAGTAGAAGTAGTAGTAGTACATTTATAGTAATAGTAGTAGGAGTAGTAGCAACAGCAGCAGAAATAGTAGTAGTAGTAGTAGAAGTAGTAGTAGTAGTAGTAGTAGTAGTAGTAGTAGCAGTCGTAGCAGTATAGTAGTATAGGTAGCAGCAGTAGGTAGGTACAGTAGTAGTAGAAGTAGGAAGAGGGGGATAGGAGGAGGAGAAAAAGGATAAACTAATAGTTCATGGGGGGGGGGGGGGGGTAATAAGGGAAGCAAAGGCCCAGGGGTGACCCCCGGAAATTTTGCAATTTTGGGGGATTTTGAAAAAAGGACCCATTTTTAATTTGATAAAATGTGGGACCCATATTTAGGGAATTTTTTGTAAAAAAGTGATCCATGAGAGCTGCACACCCCGTATGTCCTAATATGTGAGTACCCCCCCCCCCCCCCTGGGCGCGACCTTGGACCCTTTTTAAAAGAGCTGAATGCTTTACGTCTAAAAAAAAATTCCAATAATATTCTAACCAGCAAGTTAAAAAAAAGGGATTACATACATATTCATGTTTGTAAATTTCCTGACGGGCAAAACATCAAACAGGAAGAAGCATGAGTACACCACACCCTCTTTTGCATTGCTACTCGAGGAGTAATTAACTTTTCGACATCAAATGGCAACGAATATAGTAATCAAGAAATTAAAGATGATCTCATGCATGTAATGCGAGAGAAACATGATTCATATCACTCTAGAATATTCGAAAATGGTAATAACTTCATCAAATTTGATCATTAGATATCATACTCCTAAGTTATGTAAACTAATTTTGGATTAAAAATATATGTTATTTTTTTATGGCCAATCTGTAATTTTTCACTTGTAAAAAACAAACTGCGTCCACTAAATCGTTCCTGTGTCGTTACAGTCAATTTTCGTTGAGATTATGTAAGTCCTTTTTTTTCTTCCTTGTGGTGTAATTTGCGTTACACAACAAGTAAATCAAGTCAGTGCATGAATATATTCTGACTTTTAGTCATAACATTTAAAATATTAGAAAATGGTAATAAGTTTGTGAAATTGTATCATTAGATATGTAATGTAATGTAATATGTAAAATAATTTTGTTTTTAAAATATAAGTTATTTTTTGATGGCCAATCTGTAATTTTTCACTTGTTAAAAACAAACTGCGTCCACTACATCGTTCGTGTGTCGTTACAGTCAATTTTCGTTGAGATATGTAAGTTTTTTTTTCTTCTCGGAGGTGTAACTTGCATTACGTTATAAGAAATATTTTTGGATGGCCAATCTGTAATTTTTCACTTGTAAAAAACAAACTGCGTCCACTACATCGTTCGTGTGTCGTTACAGTCAATTTTCGTTGAGATATGTAAGTTTTTTTTTCTTCTCGGAGGTGTAACTTGCATTACGTTATAAGAAATATTTTTGGATGGCCAATCTGTAATTTTTATCTTGGAAAAAAACAAACTGCGTCCACTAAATCGTTCTTGTGTCGTTACAGTCTATTTTCGTTGAGACATGTCAGTCCTTTTTTTCTTTCTGGTGGTGTAATTTGCATTACACAACGAGTAAATCAAGTCAGTGCATGAATATGTTCTGACCTTTAGTCATAACATTTAAATAAATGTCTTATTGGTCAGTATAGAAGTAGGAAATAAGTGCTCACAATAATAAAAAAAAAGCTGTACGCAACGAACATCAGTTATGTTGAAATATTACCAGAATAGAATACATAATGACTCTCTGTGTTCTGCCAAGCATAACAAATAACGTGATGTCATAATGAGACGAACTCGTTTCGTAAACCTGCTGAATATTCATGCTCCGCGTGAGTGTTTGTCAACATGTGAATAATGCATGCGCGAGTTGCCTGTTTACCGTTTTATCTTGTTTACACGCCCATGCGCAGACCGTCCGGGCGAAAAGGTTATTGCACACTGAGCGATCCAAAAATAGCATCAAACCGGTTACGTCATTTTGAGCTGGCGAATGAGAATGCGTTCTGAGGATATAATCTTCCTCGGCTGGGCAGCGTTTTTATTCACTCGTCCCCTCTTCTCCCCGTGTAGCGTACGTCTCTCTGTGTTGTGTATATTCTTCGCCATTATATCGGGGGATTGACTATTTTGTTGTACATATAACGTCTGAAATAAACGGGGAAACTATATATTTTTTATACCTTCGACCAGAGGAACGAGTTATATTATCGCTGATCGATAAATTTGTTACATCGAACGTCATTTCGTGGATATATATTGTCACCTTGTGTACTTGGATATATTTCAAAAGGACTGGTATATTTTTGTATACCACCGCTGTGGAATAACTTGTTTTTATATTTATTGTCGGATTGTTCTGTCCATGTCTCCAAACGCAACTCCCACTACAGCCAGTACCCAGAAAGGCGCATTTTCCTTCCCTGCAACTAAGAGTGAGAAGACAAGTCTACCCGATTTCTGTGGCTCCGAGTTGGATTTATCTGCAACACCAAACCCTCATAGGCAGTGCCACATAAACAGCGTAGACTCGGATCAGTGCAATATGGCCGCTTCCTCGTTCACATTCGCGCTTTCAGGCAAATCACCGCTGTGCGCCAGTGCGCTCAAATCATCGTCGGGCAACGGGAGCAGGACACCCGAGCTGAACACAAACATGAGAGTGGCTAACCAATGCTTGCTCAACCGTGCTTGCGAGCAATTGCAGCAGTGTTCGCCCAGGATTTTCCGAAAGCTTGGGAAATCGGACTGTAAGCAGAACCAGAATAACCAAGATGTCACACCTATGAGCTGTTCTCCCTCATCTCCCTCCTCCACTACCTCACCTCTTGTGCTCCCGCAAGAACTCAGCCAGCGACTTGACAACCGTTCATCTCTGCTCTCGCAATGCACGCAGTCCCGTCTTTGCCGTCCTCGGTCTGGCTCCGTGATTCTTGTGGACATTCGGCCGTTCCTGGCATTCAGCAGACGACACATCTCAGGAGCTCTCAACGTCAACTGCGCCACTCGATTCTCGTGCAGGAGGCTGCGTGAAGGCAAGGTAGCACTCGTCGACCTGGTCACGTCGGAGGAAGGCAAGAAGGAGTTCCAGGGGAGGTTGGATCAAGATAAGGAGGTTGTGGTTTATGATGAGGAGTCTCAAGGAATTGATAACTTACCCGTCAACCATCCGACTTCTCTTGTTGTTAGTGCTCTGAAGAAGGAAGGCGTCAACGTCAGACTATTAAAAGGTAAGATCAGGTTAATTGTTTTTAAACAAAACTAGGAATTTTTATTGAGAATGGGAGGTAAAAAATTAATGTTGACATCTAATATTGTCTTTATTATTCAATATTCAATTCAATATTATCTTTATTCCTCGTCATTTGGCCAGTTGCGTATGGGTGATGAAATGATGATAAGGATACTATTCAGATTTAGGAAAGCTAATACCATCATTTTCTGTACTTCTTGGAATGATTGCGAAACTTTCAATTGCATGACTGGGTGCGTGGGAGTTGACCACAAGCTGTGCTGTGGCTAGTTACAAATGCGAGACATTTCAACATGTGTCTATGTGGCAATGCTTTTTGCAGATGACTGGTTTTACCGCAAGTCATCTCTATCATCATCCTCATCATCCTCATCATCGCATACTGGCCGCGCCTGGTTGACCTGTGCTGCCCGCATGCCAGAGAACTTCAGGCCTCCCGCTATTTTGCAGGCTGAGTGAATCTCTCTGGCTATGGGTCTCCACTTCGGCTGTGGCGAACCAGTGTGCGTTTCACACCACTGGTGATGACCAAACCGGTGTATTATCCTGTCTTCTGATGGGATGATGCACAGTGAAGATTGAGGTGGCTCTTAGAAAAAATAAGGAACTTGAGGATAATGATGAGTTTATGATTTTTTGTTAAGGAAGACGCTGACAAAGTTCTAGCATTAATTTCCAAAGTAATTTTGATGTATGGGATTCACAAAATATGGGATTATTTTTATGATGATTTATTTTACTACATTTCGTAGTAATGTAAAATAAAGCGACGCTGTCATGTCTGTAAATATTATAAGTGCCATTGTTATTTTCATATTGTATCACAATTGATTTGCTTTCTCCTTTTCTGACCAAGAAATTTTATTTTTTATTCTTCCTTCAGGTGGAATCAAAGAATTTGCGAACCACGGCGAAGATCTGTTCGTCAGCGAACTCACGAACACCTCATCTACCTCATCAACCGTGATCAATGATGGCGAAGAGCCTCCCAGCCCCACCACCGACAGCGAGCACATCCTCCGCGGCGGCTCCGGCATCTGCCCTTCTGAAGGCATCCCCATGACTCAGATTTTGCCTCATCTCTACGTCGGCAACGAAGTCGACGCTGCCAACATCGACGCACTTCGGCTGCACGGCATCAGCCACGTCCTCAACGTCACCAACTCAGTGCCTTGTTTCCACGAAGGCGAAAGTGCCATGCGCTACATGAGAATACCAGTACGCGATAACGGACTCATCAACCTCCGGATGCACTTCCAAGCCGCCCTCGAGTTTATCGGTGAGTTGGCGTTCTGCGACGGCATACGATGTAATAAGATATAATGTGTTGTTGATATTCGGAAATTTAGGCTTGTTAGAAAACTAAAAATCATTTCATCTGTAATTATTTCTAAAAAAGTAAAAAGTAAAATGATAATTAAAGATGAATGGTCGTTCCTTTGTGACATATTTTGGGCTATTTCTGGAGATACAGATGCATTATATTAGCTGTCTGCTGTCAATTAAATATCTTGAAGGATACACATAATTTTGAGGTACAGTAAAATCAATCACATTGTGCCTTTTTGTCATTATTCTTTGTTATAAAAACTGACCATTTGTTCATACTACATTGTTCTTGAAACAGAGGAGGCTCGACGTCGCAATGCCCGTGTACTCGTCCACTGCCACGCGGGTATCTCCAGGTCTTCCACCGTGGTCATCGCTTACGTGATGAAGCACATGAACCAGGCCATGAGCCAAGCTTATCAGTTCGTCAAGAACAAACGCCCCATCATCGCCCCCAACCTCGGTTTCGTCGGTCAGCTCATGGAGTTCGAACAGATCTTGAACAAGATGAACGCTCCGCGTTCGGCCGGCTGTCGGCTCACCGACTCGCCTACGACATGCGCCAAGCAGTTGCATCACAGCAGACCAGGTACTCCAAGCCTAGACTTAGACACAGCCGTTATGGAGGCATAGGTTCAACTCCACACCAGACTTTCGCGTGTACATTTTTCTGCTCTGTCTGGAAACTTTGGGAAGGCAGGCTACAGAACGCTGATGATGGAGACAAACAGACATTAACATTTTTCGACTGATTCTTGCCGAATATTCTCCTTACCTACAAAGGACTATCTCCTAGCACTCTAGCTTCTATGACCCTGAAGTACAGTAGAAGAATGTAGACAACAGAACTTCCATTTTCAGTCTCTAAGATCTTTCTAGATACAATTTTTTCAATAAAATTGATACATGTAACTCACAATTTTCAGGTAAGCAATATCAGTAGAGTTCTTCAATCCAAACGAATAATTTTTCTAAGTAGTAGCACTATAGGGTTAAACTGTATCGGCTTCCATTTTCTTTTATAAATCACTAAACATGCGCTGGGCGCTATTTTGACACTTTATAAAGAAGTACTATTATAAATGTCACCGGTTATGATATTTATTCATGACATCATGATCTAGAATCTAGATAGTAACTGGTTTTTAATTATTAATTTTTTGTATTTGTGTATGTGCAATCGGTAAGATAGACGAAGGAATTTTAACAAAATAATAATACAGAAAACGACATTGACAAAGCGCTCGAAGATAACTTACATTGTTATGTAAGATAAATCATTAGGAACACCACATTTTTGCGTGAAAGGGTAGCTTGTTTCCGTAAATTGTCAATTATTAACTTAAATGCAGAATGATTGATTTAAATCTTAAGAAATTAAGTTCGTACTTCGATCTTAACTTAGCAGCTCGTTAGCTAAGATATCATCTTGATTTTCAGTTATGATTGGTAATTGTTCTTACTTGTTGGTGCTCACACTTTTGTGGTCTTAAGGCACATGCTCTTGGTGTTACTTCAATGTAAGGTCTTTAAGTTTTTTTTTATTTTTCTTTCTTTTGTTTATTTTTCCATGGAGTTGTGTTGTGCCGTTTGTTTTGAAATGCTTGTGTTTTTTTATCAATATTCATAAACACATCACTTTTTAAGTTAAAAAACTTGAAGTGGGTCGTCATGGCCGATTTGTTATTGACTAATTTCTTATTTTTCCTTGATATTTGTCGACTAAGACGAATCATCATAGTGTTTGACTCGTCGTGACGTACATTATTTCAAAAACTCTTTTGTTCCCATAGCAAAAACTACAACAGGTATAAAGCGAATGCGTTTCAAAGCTCATAACGTTTTCCAATTTTTATCAACAATTTCAGAAAATTCATATTATGAGCATTATACTTTAATCACTATTATGGCAATAATATCTGTGATGGCAAAGTGGTAATTATTTACTTTTGCGTGGTTTTCCTGGTGATAATGCTTTTTTTTTAACTTCGTGAAATCTTATTAGTATTTTCATTTGATTCGACAATTCTCGGTTATCTTTATTTTAATTATTTTAAAAGTGGATTTCCTTGAATATTTAATATGTTCTCTTCCAAATAACATCTTTTGATTTGTCGTCATTAATTTTGTCCCCCTTTTTATCAACCTCGGGGAAAACGTTACTCTTGCCGCTGTACATGTATTTCATACTTCAAAGTCTGTATACACGTTTTAAAAGATGAAATAAAAACAAAAAGACATGAACGTATTGTTGACATCGCAATGTTGATACATGAATGACAGACAGAGAGAGAGTGAGATGTGAATATAGAGGATGAATGAGAGTAGAAGATAGTGAAATAAGAGGGGAACACGAACAGAGAGAGAGAGAGAGAGAGAGAGAGAGAGAGAAAGAAGTGATATTAATGATAAGAATACATATATTATATATATATATATATATATATATATAGTCAAACACAAATGTAGTTTTATTCACTTAGAAGATGAGATATAGCATAACAAAGGGTGAAAAGGAGAATGCGAAGATTACGAAACTGTTCGAGCAAGAGCAAAAAGAAAAGGAGATTGAAAAGAAGAAGAGAAGGACTAAAAGATGAAGCATGATTAGAATGTAGGAATGTACACAAAGGGAAAATTTAGAAAGATCGTTTGGAAGAAATCGGTATAACTGCATTTGTATCTCCTTTTCAATCGGGTGAAAGTTTGAGCAGTGAAGTTTATCGAGAGACCTGAATACATGTAATCTGCACATATTCGATTTCGACATGAACACCAAACCTGGCAAAAAGTGCATATTTTGTACTTATAAATGAAGTTAATGAACGTTCCGTTTGTATTAATCATATTTAATGTCTTCATCTTAATATTCATCATTGTTATCTCAATAATTCTATACTATACATAATTTTCTAAAAATAGAATATTACATATTCATCACGTTTAGACTTCATTGTCATGAGTGATACACCGCAGCACTAAGTGGGTTGTCGGTTAATAAGAAATAAAAATTGTCACTAATCAAATAATTGAAATGGGGTTGTCTAGTCATTTAAAGAGGACATTGCTTGATTATCTATTTTGCTGATGACTCTTCAGTGTTCTTAGTCAGGCGAGAAAATTAACTCTTCGTCATAATGCAGTCAGCATGATACATTCTGCTCTCATACATCTCTCTATTGTGCATGGAAGGCGCTGCCCGCATCATGAGTTAAATATAGATCTGACGCAAGATGGCGCTTGTACACTTTTACCAGAGCGGGTGGGAGAGACAGAGTCAGGTCAGAGTCAGAGTCATGTCATGGATCTATGGTCATGTCAACGGTTCATTTTGGAACGGGTTATTTACTCCGGGGGCTTTGTTTCTGATTTTCAAATTTAATCATTATAAAAGGTTGGGGCAATAACGATGTTAATAATTTATAATGCTTACTGGGCAGGGTCCCTTTCATGAGTCATTGAAAATAAATTACAGAAGGAAAAAAAAAGCTATGAAAAAGCGGTAGAAAAGATTACCAAAAAACAATATAGGCCAATATTTCATTCGGTCATAATTTTCCTTTGTTCAATGCAATGACCATTCTTTTCCTCCAATGTTTTTGAGGATGGAGATAGTGTGTCATAGATTGAACATACACAGTGAAAAATACTGCCCCTCAGTTATAATTGTGTAAGTTTTCAGTAGTGCCCCCTTCCTTCTTACATAGTACTGGATCCTCGCTAGTTTACGTATAATGACATCTACTTCTGCTACTACTAATTGTAAATTAATGATGATATTAATTATCATCCTTATATCATGCATGAATGATGATATTTAAACTATGTAATGATACGTCTTTCTATGACTATACAAGTCCTGAATTCTTTCCATTCACCTGAAAAGTATACGCGATTATTTCAAAGGAAATAAACGAGAGAGAGAGAGAGAGAGATAGAGAGAACGAGAGAGAGAAAGAGAGAGAGAGAGAGAGAGAGAGAGAGAGAGAGAGTGTGTGTGTGTGTGTATGTGTTTGATGGACGGATGGAGTACTATAATCGCAAATAATTAGGTACTCCCGACTTAAAGCTGTTGATTCGATATGTTTAAAACGCCCTAAGAGTCCCCAAACTACGACCAATAAATACGATCGGCACTCAAGAAGGCGTGTTTGCCATATCATTGAATACAATCATTATCTGACTTCTATAACAAGTTAACAGACACTCATTTTTATATGTTTATCATGCTATACCAAAAGTAAAATTATAAAAGTAATTATGATCTTGTAAATTATAACTACTAATGATCACGAAGCTATGATTTTACAGAACATTATTGAGACGAACATAATTATAGGGAAGAGTTAAAATTATCTGGCAACCATTTTCGTAACAATTTCGAGTTGACTGTGCCTAAAATGCTTGATGAAGGCTATAAGTCACCAGGCAGGGCAAGGCAATACTTGACTGGGTGTCAAATAGAATTAAAGGCACGCCTTGGGTGTGATCTGATTCTTTAACGCGTTTATGAAATCACGGGATTAAGATTGGGCTTTACAGATTGCTCTTGACACGCGTGTGGCTTATCGCTCTAAGCCAAGTTTGGCTTATAACACGCCCAAGATATCAACTCGATTGCCAATTTGTCATAGTTGTAAACCTTTCAAAGTTGATTACAATTAAAAAATCATTCTATAGCGCTCGATGGTAGAATGGTTAACATTAAATAAGGATAAAAGAGAAAGGGATTTCTTGAAAGAACATGATTGCATAAATCAACCAGAGGGCCATTACAAGATGCCACTTTTGTTTTAGAAATTATCTTCATATTACGAATAATTTCGTAATTATAATGAATGTGCCAGCATTCAAAGGTGATGGACAATGCTTTTGAAATTGCCTTCTAAAACTAAAATTGCTTTTTTTAAATAAAGTTTTTGCGATTGTATAAACGATTTTATTGTCATCATTTCTTTAAAGAATAACAAATTCATATTATTGGTAGACTTTGATTTGTTTTCTTCCAGAAGATGTTCAGATCGAAATTTCATGAAAACATTGCAAGTCTATGCGAAAATAGAAATTCCCTCTAGTAACTTCCCTCATTCAGGGGACGTTTCATGAAACAATAAATATTAGTCGGTGGTCTCTCGAATATCATTTGGGGTCAATTTTACCTTCAGCCTGACCCGAAGAAAATAATGAATTAATGCCGTCTCCATTAAAGTGAGTCGGTTACATTGTTGAAGGTTGATACAAAAAACTGTGTAATTTTTGTATGAAATGTTACTTAATATATTCCTTCTATTTCTGTTTCTGTTTCGGTTGCGTCGGTATACTCAGGGTTAACTGTACTTCACCAACGTTTTGATTAGTATGGTCGTGGTTGTGCTATGGAAGGAGAGGTGATTCACATTTGAAGTTTCTGCTTGAAGACTGCACTGGAGGTAGACATAACTGTTTCCTCCTTGAGTAGGTTCCTATTGTACTTACCCTCTAACAGGCAAAAAATCTTCAAACCCAAAGATATTTATGGTTTTCTTTGAAGGTGTCACTGTGCAGTACCCTCTAAAAACGGTGATTAAAAGGAAGTTCCCTCAAACATTAATTTTTTTAATTTTCCCAACCGTTTTTCGTTGAACATGAGATCTTTCAATATTTAGATGTCTAGAATGGTAACAAAAAACAAAAAAAGCCAATTCATTGCTTTCTGACGATTTACATTCACCTAAAAATGTATTTAAATTGTAATAATATAGTTGGGAGAATCAAGCAATCGATCGGATCAGTTTTTCCCAATTATTATCGTTAATAATGGTCCGTTTTCATTCAAACCTTCAGATTATCGTTAATACATCTAGCATTAAAGTCACTACCTTAGCACCATTTTCTCTCATCTGAACAATGTTACCAAGTTCCTTGAATAGGCCTATATCTTTAAAGTTTCAAATTGTATTTATCTGTATATTAATGTACAAAAATAGACATCTTATATTATGCTGTAATGCCCCATTACAAAATCACAACTCCCTTTTCGCTTCCTTTGAAGGTATGAGGCTAAACTCATCGGAACGCAGACCAGACTTTCAGCGGAAACGGTCAATATAGTGGTGATGCCCCCCGAATTAGCTACCACGGATATCACAATCCTTAGCAGGGTGTTTCTCCGTACGCTCCGGGAGTGATTATTAATAGACGGGGCGCTTATGATCTTACGGATACGCCCATGGTGATATCTAGGGCGTCCAGGCATTATACGATCACTCATTGAAAGAAAGAAAAAAGACGGGCGAGCATCATCGTTGCATATCCCGGTCAGTATTGAGCGTTGAAAGCTCAGGGGTATGGTTTGATGAGTTTAATTATTTTTTGGGTGGGGGCAACTGTTTGGGGGTACGCCATATCTGGGATTTATGATGCTTTGGGAAACTCCCTTTATCTTGCTTGAAGAGCGATGTAGGCCCCGTGTGTCGGCCTGAAGAGTATACGAATGTTATCGGACTTGCCCATTGCTTTCATTACAGTTTCAATATTCAACATACGCCCTTCCTATCAGCATTATTAACACTGTCGTATTTACAATTCTATAATCATTATTACCGTTAATATTTATTGCTTTAACTTTTTTTCTCTCTCTCAAGGTTATCATTGTCATGATCGACATCTAATGATATACATAACTCGAGGAAAGATGCCTTAAACCACCCGCTTACTTGATTCATTAAATAATCATTGCAAATAAGCGAGGTAAGTCTACATAGGTTAATTTTGTATACATAGCTAATTTTGTATATCATAGTTTATTTCATTCTCATTATCGTCTCGATGTATGGGTTGCATATCACATCATGACTTGCTTATAATTAACAAGTTTCCCGAGTAAAATATTGAAGCTTTGCAATGTAATGCATTTGAGAATTTAGCATCACTAAGCATGAAATATTCCCTTTCCAATATTCTTCGTGTAGAAGGAGGGAGGGGGATTCGTATTGTTGTGGGAAGGGGACACGTGCCCACCCACCCACCCCTTTCCCTCAACTTGCGTTTACTTATTGATTGATTGATAATTGATTGATTTTCATTCGCCAAGCCTCCGACCATATAGGCTAGTAACTCCATGGTCTGTAATAATACGATTGCTATGTCGGGGACCCCACTGGAAATAAGCTCTCGAGCTTTCGAGGGTTATCTTGTTCAAGCTGACTTACTATTTTGATCTGTTATTCTTAAGTTGTTGTTCGTCGGATCATGGCGTTAATAGTCTAGTAACTCCATGTACAGACAGACAAAAACAAACTTATTAAAGATAATAATGATGATAATACAGTAATAACAACAAATCAAACTGAACATGATAGAAATGATAATAAGTACAAGAAGAATAAGTAGATAAAGAAAAGAAGAAGAAGCCTAGAAGAAGAAAAGGTAGAAGAAGAAAACGAAAAAGAAGAGGAGGAAAATAATTATGAATATGTTGAATTTGGCAACATAATTGCTTGGTTAGCAAGCAATTGTATTGATTTGTTGTTGCGAGCTTCAAATTTCCCACTTAAATGAGTGCTTCTTTTACAACGTAAATAAGGGATATCTATTAGTTGGTCTGTGCATAGGTCTGTGCAATTACCTATGCGATTTGGGAATATAAAAATGAAAGACCAAGCGCATGCGCATACACGATTTCCCCTTAGAAACCGAAATGGCGTCTGTTGTGACTGCAAATTCCCTAGGAAATTTGAACGATATTACCAAAGATTTGCCTTCTTTGCAATTTGAAAATGCGTTGTCAGAAGATGAGAAGGGACCATATCTCATTCTGAGGAAGAGATCTCATGCAATCACCGTTTCAGCATGTGCTCAAGCGACGTACTTTGTAGCAGTATTGAATGAAGCCCGGTGAGTATTTCGGTCCCATATGTAGATGTTCATGTGTGTTACTCTTTGTCAGCGAAAGGCCTCACTCACGCTCGCGCTTGCGCTTCCGCTAGCAAAACCGGGCTAGAACCGGGCGCGTTATTTTTTTATGCGGCACAGATTGGGGCTTTTTTTTTAAAGGGGTCTTGATTTACAGACTAATACTGGTCGTGTGCGTACTAGACAGTATAAGTAGTAGAGGTCTGTTTTTAATAGTGTTACATTTAATCCACTACCGCATGGAAAATCATTAGGTCTAGATCTACATCAACAATTAAAATCAAATTGGAAAACTGAAGAGGAGGCAGCACGTCAATAAGGAGAACCTCACAATAATTAGTCAATAAAACCTACTAACTTAAACGAAGAGGAATGTTATCTGAACACATAGTTCGCGATGGATATACAAACTTCTTCGCAGCGCTAATGCGCTAGCTAACATGACTAGTCTCACGTAAGTGCAGACACTTCCCATAGGTTTAACACGCGCCATGCCCCAATCTGTGCCGCATAAAAAAATAACGCGAACCGGGCTGATGTTCACGCTTGCTATGGTGTATGATGTATGATTCTACCTAGACAGAAATAACCGTCTGATTTGGGTCATTTCTTTAATAAAACTGACATTTGTTGGCATTCCCCAATACAGATGGTAATCGCTAGAAACAGCGATGAACATCTTTTCGTTCGCGACATTTTCTTCCCCGATTTTCTTTATTTAGTTTAGATCTAATTTTCTGATTTCTAAATCAGATGTAAAGCAGGTTCGTATGTCATTTGTCCTAATTACAGTAATAAAAATTTGATAACTTAATAGAATCTATTAAATGTATAATTTACGGACTTAGATGCACTCGAACATAAGGCTATATGACCGGTACGGCGGCCGATATATTTCCGGGTCGACCTACCAAAACATAGCCAATGGCCAATCAGAGCACTCGTTTCGTGGGAGTTCGTTGGTCAAGCCGGGCTGACTCGTACGTAGCTACGGTAGCTATTGGACGTTCAAAAAAAAAAAACTAAAACCAAGACGGATAATGTTGACGACGAGACTTTCTCGGATTAATCATTAATTTAGGATCTAAATGAGCAAGCTATCATAAGTCAAATAAGCTATATATATGTTATTTTTAATTTTTATTATAATTGCAGCAGTTATGAGGATGTAAAGAGTGAAAATCTCGTTGCATATCTCATTCATCGCGGTCCGGTCGAACCGAACCATTTGTTCCGTACAGTCCCGTACAGTCCCGATATAGGCCATACTTCAGTCTCTATAATCGGAGGTCTAGTGGAGCCAGACGTAGTCTCAGTGGAACAACCGAGGATTAGAGAGACTGAAGTTTTCGGTCTAGATTCTACCACACCAGTTATAACTAGTGGTCGAAATATAGGTCTAGATATCGAGAACTATGAGCTCACAAGGAAAATACCCCACCACTAAAATTAACAAAATGTTTGAAGGATACCGAAAAATTCACCAATGAAACTAAATCTTGAGACTTCAGTTTATAAGTATTTAAAGTAACACTAAACCTAATCCTAACCCAAGGTTTTTGACGTTTGTGTACAATAACCCTATTGGTGGGATATTCTAAAGTTAAAGGTAATACAAAGTTTTGGTATGGGGTCATGAATTTGGTTCAAATGAAGATATTGGGAGCATATGCGATCCTACAATATTCAGTGATCGTTGTCGTGGTTGAAATCGAGTCTAAAGTTACAAAATTGTAAAATATTAACTCTGTGTGTTGTATAGCTCCCTCTCAAGGTCAAGATATTAATTAAGCTATGAAACTATGTTTCTTGACTAAAATTGGCCGATTGGCTATTCCCGTTGGGAAATTATAGATCACAACTACATATTCTGAGATTTTTATGGTTGCAGCTACCATTGTACGGCCGTAGGAGCTATTTGAAATTTATCAAAATTTACCGGGAGCACCGGTAAATTTTTATATTCAATTTTTCTCGAAAGCAGAAGTGTTTTAGAGGCTAAATTTTCTAGTGCTTATACCAGGTAATACATTCACAGGGGCATCCAAATAAGTTGTAAAGAATCACTATCCACCCAATTTTCAAAATTTCCCAAAACTTTGTATTACCTTTAAGCCCACGCCCATGAAGGCATGATATACATGTAGAGATCAAGATCTAGCATTAGCAATGCAGATCTAGCATGTATTCAATAAAAAGGGGGAAAATGACAAAGTTTGCTAGTGATTTAAATTTATTCAGTCTGATATGCCAGATAGGGTTAGGCTGGTTCATATTTTTAAAAGTTAACCTATAAATGTGTATAATTTCCTTTTATTTTAGCTTGAGACGAATGAGAGCAAGTTTATCAGACAATATGACAGTAATTACACAAACTTTGTCAAGTATTTGGAAAAAATAAACTAGTAAGCTTAACACTATCATAAAGATCTAGATCTATAGATAATGAAGCAAGACAATTTGAGATGTTATAGGAGTCTATGTCTATGGAATAATCTCTTGAAATTTTTCTTGCCGCTTACAGACAGAAAATTCTTCACTTGAAGACTCCGCAGCAATCCAAGTCATCCAAATTTCTACAGAAAGCTCCCCCTAGAGATCCTGTGAAGATTGGGATCATTGGATGTGGACGCATCGGCAACCATCTGGCTAATTGTCTTCTCACATATGCAGATGTTCTGCCACAAGAGCTCCTTATCTCCACAAGACGACCAGAAACTCTGGGTGAGTATGTAATTAGGTGCAGGCAACTGGCATCGATGGTCTTGTTAATTTGTATAATTTAGTCCATTGAGGAAGACCGACGCCCCCCCCCCCCCCCCCATGATGCCAGTGCCTCCAGATGTGTTGAGCTGTGCTATGCTACTGAGGGAGGAGCTTATTTGCTTTGACCCTCCCACTTTTGGTAGGGTTTTGTACACAAACCCTGACCAGGCTCATGACAGACCCACTTTGGAATTAAAGGGATAGTTGAGTTCTGTTTCAGAAGGTGCTACACAAAAATAATTTTTTGTGAGATAATGAAAAAACTGAGTGTCAAATTTAAAAGAGCATACAATATAAATGACAAAATCATCTTTGTTTGGTTCAGAGACAGCTGAAATATCCATAAATATAAACATTTCTAATACTTGTGTACCACCACAAATATTAGATTATTTAAAAATAGCCGTTGAAAAAACGAAATAGCGCCTTTGACGTCGTATTTCATCCAATGCCAATGTGGGCTTTTTTGTTGGCATTTTCGTGTTGGTTATATTACGCACATATTACGCCCATGTATTGTTATTTTTTATTAAATGATTAATGAACGGTCACTGTATTTTTGTTTAAAGTGGAGCTGAATTGGTATGATCATATTGGCTAAATTTCAGACATTTTGGGGTCTAAAATTACCTTCATAGCAATTTTAGGTTATAAAAGGCACTAGAAATGTCATAAATAACATTAAGAGCAATAACCATTCACCTTGAAGGCATTTGTGGTCTGAAAACAGAACTCAACTATCCCTTCAATTCTGCTCCTGTTGAAAACAATTTTTCATAGAACACATATTTAAGTTCATTAAAAAGGATCTATTTCAGTCTTGAAAGGTTTATGACCTGGACACTTGATTTACAGTCATTGATAGGTAATATAGGATATATTTTCCCTTTTTTTAAATAAAATAATGTACATATATTATCAAAAGCATGGATATTATCTCAACATGTAGTGATGTAAATTCCAGTGGAAAATACAAATTTTGAACAATTAACTTATGAATAAATACAAAATAAGGAGCTAATCCATTCAATATGAATTGGTTTCATTATTGGAGTATAAAACAAAAGAAATTTATTTAGACCAGTGAGGAGGTAAAGCACATTGTGTGTTCTTCTAACTTTCAAAGAAATATTCAACGCCTTTGGAAAGATTTTATGTACAAGTAGGTCTGCCTGGTAACAGATTAAGTAATTTATATATTATTTATTGACTGAGGCACTGTAATCAATGTTTGATCATTTAAATAATATTGTCACATTAATATCCTCAGCTCAACTAAAGAAGAAGGGGATCGAATGCATCTATGACAATGTGAAGGTAGCGTCCTCAGTGCACCTCCTGTTCCTCTGCGTGCTTCCATCCCAGATGGCCACAGTGGCCGACGACATCCGCACCATCATCCCTCCCCACTGCACCGTCTACACCTTCCTCAGCTCGGTGCCCATCCTGCGGCTGAGACGAATGCTGAATGCCCAGGCCATCATCCGGCCGGAGTTTACCTGGGAGCGGTTTGGAGGAGGAGAGGAAGAAATGTGGGATTGCTCCAAGGATGTGTGCATCACCTTGGAGAACCAGGAGCAGGTGGAGATGACGTGTCCGCTTGCTGAGATGAAGAGTGAGTCTGTGTTAAATACACTCCTTCACGATTAAGGCCGCCATTTTGATTAGCGAGTAAATATTGCGTCATCAATGTTTCCAGACGTGCATGTATTGTTGTGTCACTGCCTGCGTTGCAAGTTCACATCATATCGACACATGCGCTTTGCATGCTCCATAAATTAAAAGTTACTCGCAATTTAAAATGTGGGCACATGCATGCACACTCTTGTAACCATGAAAAGGGTGTATTGCGGAAGACAGTCCGAATTTTAAAATGGAGACCCCCTCCACCCCTTCGCAGACCAAATGCAAATTTATTTCAATCCAAACATAGTAGGTATAATAATTACGGAACAATATAGACACCCACATGCATAAAATCACCTGGAAGAATAAGATGGATGAATGATTGAAATACACTAAGTGAGATTGGACAGAAGTGGAGACAGATAACACTTTGCTCTCAGTGGGCACATGAACAACAGTTTGAGTTGGACAGTCTATATATGCTGACCAATGTTTCTTCATTTGAAGAGCACCATTATAGCTAAATTCATTGATAAATGGTCAAGAGAATACAAAAGTACATTCTTTAAAAACATATATGATTACAAATAAATTATTAGTCTGAAAGATAAAATCTTACAAAGCATGTCTTTAAAAAAAAAAGGGGGGGGGGTTAATGTAGGACTTTAAGATATGCCAAATTTTTTTCAAAATTTCTATGGATAATCCCTTTTATTCTACGTTTGGATTATTCATCTTTTATTTTCATTTAATCATCATTATTTTGTTCACAGCTTCAATTGTCCAGACAAAAGAGAAGTGGGCCGAGATGATCCTCTACTCCTTTGTCAATATGTGTACCAGGGAAGGGCTAGAGAAAGAGCAGACGATTGCAGTCACCAATGAGGTTGTCCTGGGGCAGTCGCCCAATCAGGAGTACCTGACAGAGTTCAGGGCACTGGATTTCACCAGACGTCCAACGTAAGTGAAATGTTACCTTCAGTATGGATCCTCTTCTTCTATGGTCCGGCCGCTGCAAGCATACACAGTTATATGGTTTCTCTCTGCCTCTGGCACTTTTCAACAAGATTTCAATCAATCCTGGCTACTCATGTTCATCTGAACTCTGACCCAAGGTAGCCATGAGACTGAGGAGCTTGAATCAACCGTTAGTTCAGAGTAAATTTTACATCGGAGTACAGGATAATGAGCACCTGCCTATTTTTAAAGATTATTTCATAAGAATGCAAGAAATCATTACTAAAGGGAAAAATGATGAAAATTCCAAATGTGAAATCATGCATAACATGAAATGAGGGTTATAGATATTCATTGACAGGTCCGGGTGTGAGTCATGTTTCGCTGCCTTGGCCCTTAAGATTGGTTAGCCCAATTCTTTTTGACAAAACATACATGCACGAAGAACGGCCATTTGGGGTCTGTATAAAGCCCTACAAGGGGGGTGGGGGGGGGGGGGTATTGTAATAGTTTTTACCAAAAAAAAACCCCTCAGCCTCCATGTATTTTTAACGTTGACAATCTAATTGTCCCTCAGTTTACATGTACCTTCAGGCATGGTCTTCAACACAGCAAAATAGAACACACATGCATCAATATTTCTTTCCAATGCCCAGCATGTCTTTCTGAACTTTCAATTAGACAATTAACAATGCCATTTTGGTTGCAAAACTTGCTTATTTTGGCAAAACAATAACTTAACTGCTGCACTTGTATCTGGGCTGGAAACAGATGTCTGATAGATGGCCCTCCCTAATAAATTTTCCATTGTCTATAGAGATGATGGCAGGAAAAGGTCCCTATAAATAGTAGGAGGGCTTAGAACCAAATCTTTCATGGGCTGGTGAACATCTTTAGATGATTGAATAATGGGCCTTTTGAAGCTCATAAAACAATGAATTTATCATTTCCTGCCTTACGCAAGCAGCAAAGATTATGTTAGTAAGTGACGCTTAGACTGAGGAGAAGGGCTGAGGACTTCCAGGAGTGCATGTTTTATTTACAGAAATATCTCTGGGACGTGCACCTATATTGTATTCATAATTCAGCAGTTGTATGTCATATATCTGAGAGTGACCATGCCACCTTGTACTTGTTTGTTTTGTTTTGTTTTATTTCCACTTTTTCATATTAATATAAAGAAACATCATGCAAATAAATATAATGAATAACATGCATGTAAGTTTGACAAAATATGTTTCTAGTTAAAATACAAGTTTCTTACAAAGGAAAAAGCAGGAGACCACATGTCGTAGGCATAAATGCTTGATGATGAACGTTGCCTTGGCCGAGTTAGCAAAATAAAAGAACAAAAATATGCAAGGGATGCGATTAAAAATCTATTTATCATTTGTATTATAAATTGGTTTGTCGAATGCGTGAAATAAGTTTGTTTGTATCACTGAGAGTAATCTTAATGTATATAAAGTATTTCCTAAATACACCAAATTCAAAAAATTCAAAATAGCTTTTCATTCAGCTCTGTTTAGGGCTACATGCCCTTTCTTTCTACTCGTTCTTAATGATTATTTCTACCTTGTTGAAACAAAGTCAGTCATATGAAAACACTGGTATGATTTTGTCCTTATCTACCACCAAGGTTCCAATAGTTTCACACATACAGTGTAATGATATTTCTAAAAAGCAACACACCTATATATTGCATGTGATTTTACCTATAGAGGAAGAGGAAGACAAGGTTGTTATCATTTAAACAATTTTTATTTCCTTTGGGAAACCTTCCCACAATGCCCTTGGTGACAAATGAACCAATCATATGGCTCGAAAATGATGTCATGTCTGTGATTGCGCCACAATCACCTCGCGGCTAGAACTCGTGCCAGCTGCCGTTCAGCTGTGCCTTGTCTGCTGCCTTGTCTGTTATGTGAGTACACGCTGATGCATTATGGGCAGGAAGCCAGGATAGTGTATTGGCTTAATACTTCCTCCCTCAATTTCCTTCTTTCCTGATCAATGCTCGTTGACCTGATCATAGGAGTGACCTTTGCTATCAGAAGGTCTGTCTTTGTCCATGAAAGAGTGTTTGATTTCAACTCTTACCTAGGGTCATTAGGCAATACATCAACTTAAAATTGCATAAAATATAGTTACACAAGAACTTACTGGTAATCACAAAAGTATAACGGTGTTTTGTAAAAAAAAGCTTTCCTGTTTTTCAAATGACATGTGAAAGATTAATTTGATCAAGCTCTGTAAGATTGGAAAGGTTATGAAATTATCCAGGAGCGAGACAAACCCCTTTTTTCATTTCATCATATCTTTAGGTTTTATGAATCATGACATACTCCTTCCTAATGAATTAATATGGAGGTGGAAAAGTGAAAGCTATGACCATAATCCAAACTACCAGTACATTCTTTTAGTGGTAGCAACTAATGGCATGTTAGACATGGAATCTTCTAGATGAAGTATGTGCAATATTAAATGGAATAACTTTGATGAGTATAAATTTATTCAAATTTTGATAAAAAATAGCAAAAGATCTTATGACTTGTATGGTCTCTGATCAAATTGTTAATTGCTGAAACAATCAACACTTGGCCTGATTTTAATCAGATCTTGTACATTGAAAGAGTAATCTCATATCTGCACAGCCTGTCTATGATTTTGAATTCATTCCAATATTAATATCAATAAAAATATTTTCAAGGAGTTTAGTACCACAATGAGCTCCTTAATATGAGCACTCCATGGGCAAATAGACAATGACTTTTGAAAAGGTGAGTATCGTTTAAACTGTATTTTCAATTAGGCCCAAGCTTCAATACCACCATTTATTCTTATAGATATATTTATTATAACATATGGTCATTCAATTGCCCACCTTAGACAGATGTTGTTATGGCAAAGAATGAAACACTAGTCTAATCCCTGAATGAGGTTGCTGAAATTTCATCAAGACTAGTTTGAACAAGATCTATTACTGGCTTCCAGTTGAAGTATTTCAGAGTCATATCTGTACCTTATTTTTTTTTTTGAATTCACTCCGATACTTGTGGAAAATGGTCTTATCTGCAGTATCTGTGCTTTCTATTTCCTTTTATACACGTATCTGTATGTGTCAGTATAGTATATGGTCATACTATTTGGCACATTTTTTGACAAATTTGTTCTTTGTTGTGATATATGAAAGAACTACACAATCTAATCTAATCTCTGCCTAAGGGCACTTGTCCCCCCCCCCCCCCCCCCCTCAGTTGAAGAATACAAAAAAATCTAAGAAAAAGAGGGAGGGGAAGGAGGGAAAAGGTAACATGAACAGATCATGAAAGAGCCCCCTCCTACATCCTTCCCCAAATTGGGTGCCTAAGCCTTGTCCCCTCCCCCCCCCCCCCTCCCACCATGCCAGGGCTCCTTGATGGCTGGACCTGCGCTCTTCACTTCTACAATTGTGCAGTCAAACATAGTTCTGTAGGCACAATTGAGACAAACGCAATACTGACATATTGATCGCCATTTGAGAAGTAAAAAGAAATGGAAGCTTTCCCAGAAGTGGTCTCCGGAGATGCCAACCCTTCTTAAATTTGTTTTGTTGATTTACTCCACACAAATTGTAATGCCTCCCTGATTTTGAAAGATTATTCTTATTATGCTGTATGCAATTGATAGAAACCTCCCTGAAAGCTGAATGTAAAGGTTGGCAATTTGGCATATATCTAGGTCTTTGGTGTAAGCTAGGCCATGACCTCAAACATGAGCAGCACATTGTTGCTGGTTTGAACCAGTTCTCCTGTTTGATTCATATTGAAACACAATCTGCACACCTGGTTGATGAGTTTGTAAAACCTTTCATCCTTTGTCTGTTCCATTCAAACATTTGATCATTCAATTAACAAATATTATTATGGCAAATGTAATGTTAGTCCATTTATCTACTGTGTGGTTTAAAAAAAAAGAGGAACACTTAAGCAATTAAACATCTGATCAAGGATGCAATGACCTTAGACCAAACAAATATAGGCCTGATTTAAACCAAATCTCTGTTTTGATAAAAACTTAAAAAGTGATCTACTCTTTCAAATTCATGTAAAGGAGGAAAGTTGCTGCACTCCAATGCAAGAGATTGAGGACCTGCATATTCATGTTTTACATGTAAGTTGGTGATTGATCAGCCCTTGTCATTTCTGTTTTATTTTTCCATGAAGGTCTGAGAATTAGAGAGAAAATTGGTATGTTGGAACAATAACTATGCTGGTAGATCTGATCGTGTACCCCATATTAACACAAGGGATAGCTCCAGGATATTGTAAAAGATGGGGAGGTGAGGGTGCAATAACGTTTTACAAGCAAAGGAAAAACAAATTATTGAGCCCCCCCCCCCCTCCTCAGAAAAAAGGGGGTGGGGGGGGGGGAACTCTGGATCTGCCCCTAAACACTTGTACCTGGTAATGTCTGCAAGCAACACCCCCCCCCCCCTCCTTAACATCATTTCGTAACCCATGACTAGCATATTGTCATGTTATTAGTCATATGGTTATAAATGTATAGTTGCAATATATGGATATCTCATCTGCTAATTATAGATACGTGACATTCACCTCACACCTATCTATTACCACTTTACAAGCTAGACTCTTGAATGTCCATGACATTCAGGTGTAAACTTTTGAATTCAGCTGCAGAATAGCTACTGATATGCAGGATTGAGATCCTTTTTTTATTAAAGGTGATGTTGAGTTCTGATAGAATTGCACTTTGAGAGGAGTAGGATAACAGTCACTGTATGTCTGTATCATTTGTCAAGCAGGAATTGTACTACTTGGACAAGCAAAATGTAACTAAATTAAAATATAAACAAAGTGCTGAAATCCACATACCAGTACCTGTACAATTCTACACTATTTGTATGCACATATTGGACTACACAATACACTGGTTTGGATTACTTGCTTTCGTTCATGAATATCTTTGCTCTTACAATATTTTTTCTAATCAAATGACATCTTTATTTCATTCATTTGTAACAGTATGAGCAATTCGTCAGAACTCTATATGCAAAATTTGTGTGCTTTCTTTTTCTCTCTCTCTTTCTCATAAAAAATGTGAAGACTATACCTTTAAAGCCCTTATCGTTGATTTGCATGCCCTCAAGAACTTGTCTCAAAATTTATCTTTAGCAGCTAGATGAGTTTATGAAAAGTATGTGCAAAATTTCAGATCAACAGACTCGGTAGTTTTCTCTCTATGAGCTAATATTGAAGCCCTCATTTTGTACACAACAAAAAAACACTGCCAGTTGCAAATTTGAAATTTGAAAAGAAAAATGACTGTAATTTTGCTAATTATGAATATTTTGGCACTATGCTTTTAGGAAAATGTTCAATCATGATTTTTAAAAACATGTCTCCCCTTTTACAAGTTTTAATATTTTCACCGTAGAAATCCCTCTAACACCCTTTAAGAATGATTCAAAATGGATGCAGCAAGCCAGAACGAAATGTGTAATATGTGGGTTTCCTTTTCTGTTTTCACTTCTTTTTTAGTTTGATGACTAAATTGTGTATGTCTACATCTGATCCAAGTTGTGTGATCTAAAACATTATGGGTACACCAAATGCTGTTTGTTCACATATATAAGGAATATTCTTATAGTCCAAAGGTTCAATAGTCCAATAGTTTAAAAGGCCCAATTATGTATTGGCCTTTGATATCCAGGGTTTTGTTGTTTCAGGTACTCTTACCATGATGGTACGATATTTCAGTAGAGTCCAAGGCTCATATTCATAACATTTTACTTAGCCTACTTGTCAACTAGCTATACATGTATGTAATAGAGCCTATAGTTGACAACTAGCTTAGTAATGTTTTATTAATATTGGCCCAGTTTTTTCCATGGTTTAAATTTTTGAGAAAAATATATTGATGAACGCTTCTAGCCGCTCTTACTTCTTTCTTTTCTTTCTTAAAACAAATGAAAATAAGATAGTATTGTAATAGTGATATCTGTTTAAACCTGTAGAACAGGAAATTTATCACAAATGTCCACTAACAAAATGCATTTGACATATTCCAGCTTTACATTCAAGGAAATAAAGTTTTATACTTCCAAAAATAAACTATTGTAGTTTATTTTCCGGATGCATATTGTAAATTCCTCAATCCTGTTTAGGTAGGTAAAGCAGATAATAAACTTTATAATTTCCTCTAGGTATCAAAACCAAATGTGTATTCTAAAGATGGAATCTTTTAAAGATAAAGACCAGTTATGGTTATGCGATTGGATATTGTGAAAGAAACATTGTGGAATCGATCAGAAAAGGTTGATCATCTAGCATATAAGTTTTGGTGTGTTCTGCAAGGTTCTGGAATCATCAAAATGATAAGAAATTTGGCCCAGTCTTCGTGAAGTTACAAGCACTGTACACAGAAAGATGTATATGGGACTATGCACACGTGCGCAACACATGCGTTTATCTCTTACAGTCCAATAGATAAACTAATTTACCAAATATATCAGTTGGCAGACAAAACATATTCTTTCACATGATTGGTAATAAAGAGCTTCCATTTCATTTTTTGAAATTGGGACGTTTCCGAGACTTGTTTCTATCTTTGCTTCCTTGTATTATTAAGTGTTATTGTTGTGACGATCAGCAGGCCAGCATGATTTGATTTCGTATGGCCAAATTACATAAAGAGATTGAATTTCAAATGTGAGTTTAAGGAAATAAATCTGATGCCAACCAAAATGTTTTCAGATTATTCCCGGTCTAGTAGGTGAATGTATTTAAAGCTGGATTTTTCTAAACGACCTTTCATTTTAATGTTTTACAAATTTTGCAATAATGCTATCAAAATCTATTTTAAATGTTCATATCATAATGTATTCGAGTTCGACTATTCGTACATGTTCATATCATAATGCCTACACCTTGTTTTTGGTCATTCATGATGGATCAAATAAATTGAATATCGAGGCTATAGATAATTAACTTTCTCTCCTTGTTCTTGTTATCTATCTGCCTCTCCCTCACATTATACCTTTTTTCTTCCCATATCTTCTGTCCTCTCTTCCCCACTCTTCCCCACTTCTACCGTCTTCTTTCTCTCATCCCCTCACCTCATTCTACTTTCTTGTATATTTCTCTTTATCTCTTCGCCATTCCCTACCCTTCCCTACCCCTTCCCTCCCTCCGTTCAACCCCTTTGAATGTATTTACCACCTCTCTCTAATCACTTATACTCTTTTCACTACTCCCCTCCCTCTCTCTCTCTCTCTCTCTCCCTCTCTCCCCCCTCTCTCTCTCTCTCTCTCTTTCTTTCTCTCTTCCCTCTCTCTCGTTCTCTTTCTCTCTCTCTTTCCCCCTCACTCTCTATCCCCCTCCCTCATTTCTTTTATTTTGTTTTTTTTTTTTCCATCCTCCCCGCAGTCTCTTTCCTGTGTTTGATATGTCAGCTGTAGCGACCAACCAGACACCCCTAACTCAAACCATCACCGAAAACCATGAGCTGAGGGCGCTCTTCGTCAAGAAATACAAGGACGTCTTTGATAAGTTCTACTACTGGAAGGGCATCAAACAGATCAAACCCAAAACGCAGGAAAACACATGACCTATCGCCAGTCATGTGACTTTAGAATCATGAACTGATATGCATCATAATAGTTCTATTTTTATATAACAATATCTTTCCCATGCTCTTGGCCTTCCTGTTTATTAAATACATGTATATCCAGGGAGGTGAGACTTTAAGCCCTGGTATATCTATTTAAATTGTTTTTATGTACGAAATTGTTCATATGAGTGACACAGGTTTTTATGAAAGTGTGTGTCTGTTACGTGAGTATTATTTATATTAGTACAATCTGTATCATATCTCGTTTCTAGATGCAAATATATAATATATCACAGAGTAAGTACAGCCGGTAAAGTATATAATATATACCATATTTTGATGGACGAGAATAGATCAAAGTGACTTGAGCAATCTACTAAGCATAGTATAACGAAAGATGGCGCTATTTAAAATTCTATCTTCCATCGCAAGAAGTGCATCCGTTTTGGACGTGCAGATAACCCAAAACTTTGAAAGTACCAAAGGAAAAAATGCACGTTCTCATAGTACAGTCTTCCATTTTACAGCAAAGGGATTGGGTCAGGCTTGTGATTCAAGATAAGTATTAACAGCAAAACTAAATATTTCTTCATGTGAGACAAAATTGCCTTACAAAACCACTTGTACGTGTGAGCAATTTATTTTCTTGCTGAATGTATAACAATATTACCTTTAGTATTCTTATAACCAACGTAGTAATTTCCTTGGTTTTGTATATTATGCAGAGATATTGTTGTATTCAGTGTATGCCGTCCGTCCAAAATACGATTTGAAAATTAAACAATTGTTGTTTACTTGTGTATGCATTCCGTCCAAAACATTTGTCGTTTACTTGTGTAAGGCGTAATTTTTCTTCTAGGCCTAAATTTGATCTTTCTCTTACTTCATTTATAAATTTTAAAGGATATTTCTCCGATGATATTTGTTAACTTGATTTGATTAAACATGCTACTGCTTGCCTTATTGGTTTATGTCAGAATCGGACTTTCGTGTTTATTGTTATTTCATTGATTTCCTATACAAAAGTCCATTTTCCTGATTGCAGATGTCAGCAAATCTCAATTTGTACTTTTTGCAGCCTATAATGAGAGCAAATGAGAAAGAAAAAAAAGAACGAACGATAGAAAGAAAGAAAAGAGAGAGAGAGAGAGAGAGAGAGAGAAGAGAGATAGAGAAAGAAAGAGAGAGAGAGAGAGAGAGAGAGAGAGAGAGAGAGAGAGAAAGAAAGAGAAATGAAAACTAAGAAAAAAATAAGAGGACATTTATCTTTCTTTTCGGCAACTATAAATTGATTCCGAGAACCTGTGTTATTTGATATGGGTTTATTTTGTATGTTAAATTTTTTTGTTAAAATTATATCTATATTTTGTGGGTTTGCTTTTTTCTCTTTCGGCAATTTTAACTAAACATGGTCTAATTCCCCAGGGGCGGATCTAGGATCCTGTAAATTCTGCAATTTCCCAACAAGTGATAAAGCTAGTACAATTCTCGGGTGCCTTTTGGATCAAAGGTAATACAAAGTTTTGGTATGGGGTCATGAATTTGGTTCAAATGTACATATTGGAAGCATATGCGATCCTACAATATTCACTGATCGTTGTCGCAGTTGAAATCGAAGTTATGAAATTGTAAATAATACACTCGTTATGTTGTATAGCTCCCTCTCAAGGTCAAGATATTAATTAAGCTATACAACGATGTTTCTTGACTAAAAACGACCGATTAGCTATTCCCGTTTGGAAATTATATATCACGTCTACTTATTCTGAGATTTTCATGGTCGCAGCTACCATTGTACCGCAATAGGCGCTAATTGAAATTTATCAAAGTTTACCGGGAGCACCGGTAGATTTTTATATTCGATATTTCTCGAAAGCAGAAGAGTTTCAGGGGCCAATTTTGCTTGTGTTTATAATACATCTACAGGGGCATCCAAATATATCAAAATTGTAAAGAATCACTATCCGACCAATTTTCAAAATTTCCCAAAACTTTGTATTACCTTTAAGATTAAAAGAAGGACATTATAAGGGGTGGGAACACTTTCTGTTGTGTCGGGTATTTAGAAGGGGCATGGGCCGGTTGTGGCCCCACCAATCCGCCAACTTGACACCCCCTCCCATGTCTGGTAAATCCCTTGTTCTATGTATCTAAAATAAAGGAAAGGTAACCTGAAAGGTTTTCAAGTTATTATGTAGCCTGATTAAGTGACAAAACTTTATTTGAAAGAAAAGGGACAGATGTGTCCCTATATAAAGACAAATATTGCGGGTTAGACGCACTGCAATATTTAATCTACAGAACATATACATGTATGTAATAGTGCGTCTGTTAGGGCTGGTATTAGGGACTTTTAGATTCTGCACGACGAGAACGTGGACTACCCTGTTAAGGCAATGTGACAGTCCGCGTTCTCGTCGTGCAGAATCTAAAAGTCCCTATTCACTCTAATTTAATGGTAGAAATAGAAAATGTAACCAGATTTATGCATATGCCTTTGTGAAGCGCCTCGAAACGAATTATTTCATTCACCTGTTACGAATGAATGTATCTCAATAGAATGCGAATGCATACATTAGTAGTAGCTAGGTAGGAAAAAACAATTTAGCTTGTCCTACCTAGCAACACGTAATATATGCAGTTTGCATTCTGATCATCGAAAAAATTATTCGTATCAGGTGGATGAAATAATTCGTATCGAGTCACTTATGTATACATTTGATTACATTCAACGAAAATGGTCTATTGGCGGCCCAAACTTCTGATGAGTCATAATGGAAAACAAGTTTTATTTTATTATTGCGTCATAATGCATTAGTGATCACAGGCGCGCCCCGCACTTTTTGCGCATGCGCAAATATATTGACAACACTCGAACGCCTTCCAAACAAATGATTTTTCTTCTCATATACATGAACCTTGACAACTGAGCAAAACGTTACGAATTAAAACAGAGCGAGGATAATTTTAAAGAAATAAAAATAAATAAATAGGAACTGTAAATTTTTAAACAGAGAGTAATCGTGACAACGCATCATTATCGAGATGGATAACTCGAATCGAATCCCAAAGGAATTTAAAATGGGATTGGGCGAGACGGGCAGTATCGACGTGACAAGATGTACTGCAAATGACGGCTCTCGGGTATTTATACTAGTTTATTCTCTTCTCTGTGCCTCCCCCCCCCCCTCTCTTTCCCCCTCTCTCTCTCTCTCTCTGTCGTGCCTTTCTATTTCGTTTTTTTCCCTCTATCTTACTTTCTGTCTTTTCACACACTTTTAGTCAATTATTTCTCTCATGGGTGTCGATCCTTACGTAATACCTATTCATCAGGGGGGATGAATGAATAGATCATCCCCCCTGATGAATAGGTATCAGTTACAGATCGACACCCATGATTTCTCTATTAACATGACGGTATAATAATATTATTATCCAAATTGCCCGCCAAATTGCAATCTCTCTTCTCTCCCGCCCCTCTCTTTCAATGTTTAGGCCTCATTCTAAAGTTATCGACTTATCGACAGGTCTCACTATGAACATCACGGACATTACGGACTGCTATTATGTAAAAATGTTTAGAACAGGTGAATATGCATGTACACCTGTTCTACGCATTTTAACATAATAGCAGTGAAGGGGGTGTTCCTTTGTCTACCTGAGAAACTGTATATTTTGTCCGCTTTCTTTGTCAGTCATGTTCATAGTGTCTTTCTATACAGTTTTAACATAATGTTAGAATGGAAGAAGTGCACCATCAGGAACGCCATTCGTAAACTCTCAGTAGGGACTTTTAGATTTAAATTTGCACGTCGACATAGTGGACTGCTACGTGTGACGTCCTAATAACGCGCTGGCAGTGCCTTAACAGGAGTGCCTCAAATGGACGTCACACGTAGCATTCCACTATGTCGACGTGCAGATCTAAAAGTCCCTATTCAAGAATGCTTGAAAGCAACATTCGTTGAAGGCAACAGTGATGAACTTCACTTTTGTGCACCCTGACCCACTTGCTGCTCCCTTATCTCTTTGTTTGTAAATCCTTAATATGCAATTGTCCCTTGCTATGCTGTATTGTATTTGTGCTTTTTATATATGAATGGTCGAATAAATAATAATGATAATAATAATAATTAATAGATCGGTTTACTAACATATTCAAATTCATGGATATTTCTTCAGTTCCCGGGGAAATTATATAGTGACGAGTTATTCCATTAACCTGTTATAAATGAATAAACTACAATACTAGCTGGGAATCCAGTCTGCATACAATACTTGTTGCTATGGCAGGCAAGCCTCCAGCAAGCTTTCAAGGTTGTCCAATACAATTTGAATATATTAGTAAACCGGTCTATATTGTTTAGTGTTGGGCTCTGATAGTGATACACCGGTCCGTTTTAAAATACGTTTATGTGTCGTCTATAATAGACTTTTCGCTTTTCGATTATGGCTATATTTTGTCATCAGCTAGTGTGTAGCAGAAACAGTTTGTAAATGAGCTAGACATAAATGTGAGTGTATTTGTAGCAAAGGCATTGTTTCTACATGACGTGTGCTTACCCGACAAGGCAACATACATCATAATAAACCTACGGAAACCAGGCAGACACGTACCTTGATCGCTAATGCATTTGGGAGAGCGCCATCTCAACTTTTAATCTACTAAGTACTATACATATACGATGAGGAACCGATGTTGACATTCGAAATAGATGAATCAGATAAGACGAACGCTGTTTGGAAGAGGTATATTTAGACATTGTGCATGATTAAGCGGTAAACAAATATTATGTTTACTTTATTCAAGTTACCTAGCTATTATATAGGCGTAACCCTTCGTTAAATAAGGATTAACATACAATGTTGGCAGCAGGTAGATGACGATGATATTCAAATGAGGATGCAGGGTGGACATTTAAATTTGCTTGTCAATAAATGCATTGACAATTGAAAATATTATGAAGACTGTTCTAAATATGTGCATCTTAATTTCACCCACTTCATAGATAACCATGGTGGTCAGAAATGGTCACACCTCAATCAACGGCGTCCCGGTCGCCGTGGACGACAAAGGGTTCGTCACTGGTCGTGACGGGTCGCTCCTACCCATCAAGTACCAAGACTTCTACCGCCAGGCCTCGGTCGAGAGAATGAACAAGATGGTAGCTGAGATGGCTAAGATGATGGATGTTTCGAGCGAGAAGGAGTTACAACTACGACCCCCTCGACGACCAGCCTGGGTGCCAGGACCAGAAATCGGCTTGTTGCCGCAATTCAAGCTCTCTCGGTAGGGCGTGCCTTCTTTAATTTTTATTCTAAACAAACACCAAAAAACAAACAAAAATGCACGTACAATGTATGTGCCATGGGTGATTAGTGGTTGGTACAGTGTATGTACAAACTGAGCGCATCACTTTGATTCCCTTATGCCCAGCGCTATATACGCACCGAATCTGACGGTTCTTCTCTTTTCATTTAAAGTTGTAAATCCCATATTTTTCTTTACGTATGCCTATTCCCACAGTTTTTTGTTACGGTCAATATTATTTTTGTCCCTTTTCTTTTACTTCAATTATCGATATAGAGATAAATGACCTTTGAAAATTCCATATTAGAATTAATCCATACACTGGCAACATAAGTCGGATGTTGATATTGTTATCTTTGTTGGAGGCTTGGTTAAATATGTTGCGGTCATGTAAATTGATCTACAGAAAGGACTAGTTGTGGACATTAATATGTTCGTCTTAAATGGATCAATCATATCAATGAAACTTTCGCCAATATCAATAATGTCATAGCATTTTGACACACAAGCCTTATCTCCACTGCACTGTCTTCTTAAAGGGATCGTTAAACAATGTTAAATCTGAGATGCATGGCCCTACGTGTTGGTGTCATATTGAAGCCCTAAAAAAAATGCGCTTCAAAATGATCAAGAAGTGCCTCAAAAAAGTGAAAACCTTTGAGTGACCGGTTTTACCATACTCCTTTTCCCCAATAGACTGTCGTGTTATGAAAACCGTTTGGCAAACGCAAAATTTGATTTCGATTTTAAATCATAAATATCTTGATAATTAGACAGGCGATCGGCTTGTTAAAGTCATGGGGTTCCTGACTGAACCAAATGTTTATAATTATCATTGCAGCATTAGCTAAATCAAGGATTTTTTTAAGGATCCAAGACGAAGTTACCGGATCCCTTGAAGTATTAAATGCCCATTTTACCTTCGTACATCTCTCTTACTTTTCCACAGAGAGAAAAGGCGGCTTCCCAAGGAAATGAAGCATCTAGTAAATTGCCTCTCTTCAAAGATGAATAACCTAGAATCAACAGTTGAGGCTTCGATGCAAGTTGTAACGCCAAAGTCATCAGAACCACCTGGACGATCCATGACATCCACCTGTTGCAACTGCATTCACTCTCTTCGTCATCGTCGTCACACTGGTTCTCTCTTAGAAAACGAACAGGCTATCGGCAGGGATGATGATTTCGTGCTTCGAGCCATGCACGACGTGCATTCGGTCGTTCGGGATATGGAGCACGTGAGTCACCAACTGTCCAAGAGTTACAGCACCATGCGGAAGACGATCTGCGAGGCAGAGGGAAGCAACTGGGCACTGGCGAAGACGGTAGAAGCCTCTTGCACGGGAGCGCTTTCTTTAGAGAAAGAAGAGGCTCACGTTGTGTCACAGTACTATAATCTAGTCAAGACATTAGCATGGCTACAAAAGAAGAGAAATGAAAACGAAGCAAAATATCAAGAGATGGAGTCTACCAATCAGAGACTGATTGGACGGGTACAAGAGCTTGAAGGTCAAGTCCAAGAAATGTCCACCAATGAGAGATTGGTGGAACGGCTACAAGAGCTTGCGGATAAGGTTGGAGAGACGTGCACCGTCGAATCGGGCCAAGTCAACCCAACGGCATGTCAAAGTTCACCAAAAAACACAAGAGAAATTGCAGAGTCTTCATCATTAGGTGACTCTATCAACGATGGGGAAGAAGGAATTGTCGGTAGATACGAAAAAGACCCTGCAGCAAGCTGGTTTAATGCCTTCCTAGCACATAATCAGAACTGGTAAGTCTTACAGAGAATACGATTTTGGAATGTGGAAAATCGCAGAAACTTATAATGGCACTAATTTCAATGAAGTAAAATTATCACAATGTATATTTAGTTTCCCACAATCAGTCCAATCAAGAGAATCTCTGCATTAATGAAAGTCCTGCGACTCTTGTTATCATCACAGCCAGGCGCGTACGCAGGATTTTTTCAGGGGGGGGGGGGGGGGTTAAGAGGACACTTTTTTTTTTTTTTTTTTGGTCTCGAAATTTGAAAATTTTACATTTTGCTCCGTTGGGGGGGGGGGGGTGTAAGGTCAACTTTTTTGGGTTAGCCATTGGTATAATTTTTTGTTTTGATTATTTAAAAAAAAAAAAAAAAAAAAAAAAACCAAAGGGGGGGGGGGGGGGGGGGTTTCCTGCAAAATACACACATAAAAAATACCAAAGGGGGAGTTCAACCCCCAACCCCCCCCCCCCTGAGTACGCGCCTGATCACAGCCACTATAGCGTGCTTGACGATCAGAAACATTTATGAGCCAATATTTCAGTAATTCCATATATGTATCTTTTTCCAGGAAAGGACTACATGACCTTAGTGATAGCCAGAAGAAGAATATAAAAGTCCTCCATGAACTGAAGGTCGAATGTGGCACAATCAACGATCAGAACAAACGCCTGACGAGCAGACTAAGCATTGCCGAAATAAACTCCGCTAAACATCAAGATCGGGTAAGCTGTCTCCTTTTTATGGTTTTACCTCAATCGGTTCATTTCTGTAATATATCTCTAAGACATATACTTAAGTACCATTGTAAATACAAATGAATTTATTATATTTTTTACATCCTATTATAGTTCAGAATTTATGAGAGAAGTCATATACCAGGCTGAGGCTACAATGTACATTAGTTTTTCGACTATTTTTAGCTTGCCATTTTGACGATCACATTTTTAGGTTAGCACCTCATTTCATCCGCTAGTTAATTTCATCGTACTGTGCATATTTCAATATTATCGTGTGTAATTATGACTAACCGTGTTCTCTAACATATATTAGTTTAATTCAAATATTCAGTTTTGTCTTTACGTTGTTGAGTTGTATAGTTTTATTATTAAACCCTGTTTATATTTTGTGAATTTAAAGTGTGATTGGTAAATTAAAGTGTTAAAAAATGCAAGATATTTCTCTTCCTGACTGGGAAGCTATCCTTTCATACTAAAATATAATGTTGAAGTCTAGAAAATTGTAAAATAGGCCTACAAAAATTAAGAATAACTAAACAACAGCATAAGCAAATAAATGAACAAATTTGTTGAAAAACGAGTTACCAATACTGTTAGCTGAAGCAAAAAAAAAAAAATCGCCATGTACATGATGTGTAAATTTGGGAAAGACACACAGTAAGAAACATGTCTTTGATAGCCTATAGGCCCCTGCATGTAAAAATGTATACTACTATCATGACTATGGAGATAATAAAGTAAGATGAAAGGGTTTCAAATCCTTTTCCCATTATGCTTTTTCAGTTACGGGATCTTTCAAAAGAGAAACAAAATTTACAACAGAGACTGCAGACTTCACAGAAACTCTTGCAATATGCTCAGAAGTCACTGGTCAGCCAACCAGATGACGTTAAGGCACGAAGGGAAGACGTGAATGGCCGGATAGCAAGCTACCGAGTTAGCCAATCAAAGAACGATAAGTACGGCGGCGTCTTCTGATTGGTCAGACTGAATGTCAAAGCGTTGTTGAAACAGCCAATCACAGAGCTTAATGACTATTAATGACGCAATAATGCCACTCTAGAGGAATTCATTTTGACTGCTTTGTAATTTTGATGCATATGCATTTTTGTATGAACAATTCTTTACCCCGCGATTAAAGTTTTGGGGGCAATTCTTTACTTTTCACGACTTTTCACATCCCACATCCCACATTCAAGGGGCTTAGCATCACAGAAAAGTAAATAGCATATGCAATATCTAACTCTCAATCATAATGTTTACATTAAATCCACAATGTGTTGCGTCATAACCACAAATAACAAGAAAAGATGAAATACGTTCTAAAAGAGACACCATCTGCGTAATTCTTTGGCGTTTTAACTGTTTAGTAGGCATCAGAAAAAATAGAAGGCGACTGTCTTTTGGAAAACTATGCCTGTATACCGAAAGGCTACATTTTGAATAAAAAGTGTAATTTTGGTGTGTATGTCAAAAGTACAAATATGTTCTATGACTATGGCAAACATGGAGGTTTGACAAATAAAGTAGATTAAGTAAGAAATACAAAATCAAACAATTAATCCTAGTTATCGGATTTTGTCGTATTTTCACTGCTTAATGTCACCAAAATATGAGGAGGAAAAAATCAGTTATGATGGAGTGTTACGGAGTGTTGATGAGATGTGAGAACGAAACCGTGACCGCTGACTGCCAATTAAACATATCTTTCGGATCCATGTGATTCAGCGTTTATCCCTCTAACCCCAATTATCATACTAATTCTATGATGGTAGTTATCACGGTATTTAGGTCGGGGAAGTATGATAAAAAAGTTTATCACCCGTCTTATTAAATTCCCTAATAAGTGGTTTCCAGTATCATGACACAAGTTGAGAGTCCAATGAATGCGACTAGTGTTAATTTTCCGTTCCGCTTTCGTTCGTATCCTAAAATACCACAATTTTATCAAAACTTAATATAATTATTGTTACATACATCAACAACAAGAACCCCTAAAACGAGCAACAGCATGGGTGTCGATCCTTACGTAATACCTATTGTTCAGGGGGGGGGGTGAATGAATAGATCGTTCCCCCCCCCCCCCCTGAACAATAGGTATCAATTACAGATCGACACCCATGAGCAACAGTCAACAAATAACCCAAACTCGACAATTAATTTAATATGCAGAATTTATTTGAACTAATTTACCTTGTTTGAATTAATTAAAAAAATAACAGATACAAAGAAAGATAATTTTGACAGAAGATAAACATTACCCCCAAAGTGCATGATTTGGATGTTCAACGGCAAGATATAATTATTTGTGCCTAATAAATAGAATACTAAAAAATAACCTCTTTTGGGAGTGTACTTTAAGTGATTTTAAAGTATGGTGCCTTTTGAACTAGATTTAAACGTTATCGACACGTGTCTTCATGTAAACAAAAAATGTACTCCTGTTTACGATTTCATCTAACCTAAAAACCACCAATTTATCACGCGACTGGAGTATCGTGATTCAACTTACCTCTGTAAATCAAGTGTTTATGACCAAATAACCACTTGACCAAGCAACGAGTTTTTTTATCCGTTAACCGATGGTGGTGATAAGTAAGTAATTCGTCCTTGTTTTCACGAAGTGACGGTAGTGAGGAAAATCGTAACGCAAAGTGAATGCAATTTTTTTTTCACTACCGTCACTTCGTGAAAACAGCGACGAATTATTTGGTCTTTTAAGCACCTTTATCGATTGGTTTCACAGGTTATCCAAGGTTGATGGTAATAATCACTTTAAAAAAAAAATTAGTCATTATTAGGTGTCTTAAAACACCTTTTTAAATGGTTTCAAAGTTACCATAACTTTCTTGGTGATGATCACGTGGCTAAAACTGATTACTAATCTAAGCTGTGAATCCGTGATATTTAGATGTGTAAAATTAGTAATTCTTAGTGTCTGAAAACACTTTTTTTAATGGTGGTCAAAGTTACCATAAGTTCCGTGGCGATGATCTCGTGACTCAAACTGATTCTTAGGTGTGAATCTGTGATTTTTTAGGTGTGAACAATGAGTTATTCTTGTGTGTCCTGATGGTTTCACAGTTACCATTTAAGTTCCCTGGTGATAATCCCGTGACTGTTGGCATATTTCTATTTGCACCAGTTGATAATTGACTGTTGGCATATTTTCATTGCACCAGTTAATAACTGGTCTGTGTGCATATTTCCAGTTGCTACAGTTGATGTCTGACTGTTGGCATATTTCCAGTTGAACCAGCTGATGCGTGCAGATCTATGTTTTTAACAATGTATCTGAATTTACAGCATATTTCTTAATTACTGATGATTTAGTTATATGCAATTCATTTTGAAAATACTACAAATATAAATTACTAGTTATTAGGACATTTCAATACTTCGTATAAATTACATTTAATTAAACATGAATAAGGGAAACATTAACTATGAACTAAAATAATTTCAGTAAAATACAAGAATATGAACATTTTTCAATTAATTAAATTATGTAAGTCTACTTATTACCAATGCCCTTACATTGGAAATACAGGCGTACCAGTATTGAAGTGTTGTTGCCGTTCAACTGGTTGGAAGTTTTATCAAATGGTTCTAATGGCTCAGCTAGACCAGTTGAATTCTAACTGGCTTGGATCAACTGGATCATTTAACCCATTTCAATTTCCGGGGTTACTAGTTGGCATTAACTGGTTCATCAACTGGACTAGTTGCAACTAGCTTTCTCTTCTGGGATGTTTGCACCCCCCCCCCCCCCATCCCCTCTAATCCCAAACTGCTTCTGGCGCGCCTGGACGTAATTGTGGAAGATCCAAAACACGATGTTCAGAAACGGGATGAGAACGTCATTATTTTGATTTATTTATTGTGTAACATTTACGTAATTATTGGGTTGAACGCGGGTTACAGTAACATATTTCCTCTTCGACGTAAATTTCACGTGAATAAAGAACATGATTCATCTCAAGTCAGCCTCGTAATATTCACGTGAATTTCACGCAGATATTTTGACTAAAACTATCACTAACGCTTCACGTGTTTCTGTGACGCGATTCTAAAACTTCTAAAGAATATGATAATTTCGTTTATGAAAATGTTAATTCATAACCAAACAAAAATGCGATTATTATGTTTACAAACCATGGTCTCCAAGGTAGGGATAATCACGTTATTATAATGGTGATATTTCAGTGACAATTGCGTGATTTAGTGTACTTGTGTTTTATGTGACCTAGTGCAATAAACGTATACACATTTACGTAAATGTCAGGTGTTTGAAGCACGTAACTCTCCTCAAGTCGATACCTTGATATTGACGTGATTTTGTTTATTGGGTGAGCCTTCATTTTTTGTTTACTTTCCTTTTTTGCAGAGTATGTAATAATTCCATTGACCCTGTCATACTAATGAAACAACCATCGGTATCCTTTTTTTTATATTCATTTTTCAAAATATAAGTCAAGCTCTAATCTCAATTTAACAAAAGGTACCTATCAAATCAAATCAAATAATTTCCAGCAAATTTCTGATAGCGAGATTTGTAGTTACTAAACACATGCTAACAAAATATCGTCCGGTTGCTGAAGCGGAGTTGGTGTGGTTTCCGACATCTAGGACCCAAACTCCCGGCAGAGAGTCGTCGATCGTGTGGTACGAAGCAGAGAAGCCGCGTTTTTCGACAGAACCATCGCTGACGAACTCCAATGTCATGGTGTTGGCAAGAGATACCAGCGAGGCTTCGGGTGCCCTGTTGCCGCAGAGTCTGTGAAGGAAAAGACATTCACATTGCATTCATTATCTGCTAACTTCCTGATTGATGAAGAATCTCATTGACAAAGGCTTGTTCATGTTAAAGTGGAACCAGGTACACCCTCCTCCTGTTTTAAAGCACCGGAAACTGACGAACTATACACCCCCTCTCCCCCTCCCCCTCCATTCACTCAGATATCTGCTCTTATAATAAGCCATTGATTTTTTAATAGAATAACATCCATGAACATCTAATTCTGGTAAATCCAGTGCACTCATTGTTAAAAAGAGAAACATTTCACAATACATTGGAATGCCGCGACGGTACTTAAAGTAAATCTCTTCCTAATAAAACTTTTTTTTTCAAGGATTTTGCGTTAAATATCTACAAACGCGCTGAGAAAGGAAAGCATCCAATCAAAAAACAGTGCTCACCTCATTGGCCTTCGGATGTCATGACCAAGGTAAAATTCAACGTAATCGAACGAACAGGTCGTGCTGTCACTAAAATCTCCGTCGTCACTTTCAATCTGAAAATCTTTGAATTCCAACACAATCCTCTGTCCTGCAGGAACAACGATGGTGTAGGTACGTTTGCAATTTTTCGGATATTTATTTGGATAGTTGGGTGATTTTAGAACACCAGAACTACCGGTGAAAGTTTCCAGGAATTCACTGGACGCAGCTGTAGTTACAGCTGGTTCCGTGGTAGGTTTAGAAGTGTCAGCTGGTACCGTGGTCGTTTTACTAGTAACGGCTGGCTCCGTGGTAGTTTTGGTAGTGACAGGTGGTTCCGTAGTAGATTTAGTAGTTACGGGTGGTGCAGTGGTCGTTTTAGTAGTGACAGCTGGTTCCGTTGTAGGTGTAGTAGTGATGACTGGGTCCGTGGTAGGTTTGGTAGTAACGGTTGGTTCCGTGGTAGCTTTGGTAGTGACATGTGGTTCCGTAGTAGATTTAGTAGTTACGGTTGGTACAGTGGTCGTTTTAGAAGTGACAGCTGGTTCCGTTGTAGGTTTAGTTGTTGCAGGTGGTACCGTAGTCGGTTTAGTAGTGACACCTGGTTCCGTATTGTTTTTGGTAGATACAGGTGGTAACGTAGATATCGGTGGATCTGTTGTTAGTTTGGTAGTTGCAGGTGGTACTGTTGTTGATTTGGTAGTGACAGCTGGTTCCGTAGAAGGTTTGGCAGTTGTGGGTGGTAACGGAGTCGGTTTGGTAGTGGCAGCCGGTTCCGTAGGTTTAGTAGTGACAGCTGGTTCGGTAAGAGGTTTGGTAGTGACAGCCGGTTTCGTAAGAGGTTTGGTAGTGACAGCCGGTTTCGTAAGAGGTTTGGTAGTGACAGCCGGTTCGGTAAGAAGTTTGGTAGTGACAACCGGTTCGGTTAGAGGTTTGGTAGTGACAGCCGGTTCGGTAAGAGGTTTGGTAGTGACAACTGGTTCGGTAAGAGGTTTGGTAGTGACAACGGGTTCGGTAAGAGGTTTGGTAGTGACAGCCGGTTCGGTAAGAGGTTTGGTAGTGACAACCGGTTCGGTAAGAGATTTGTTAGTGACAGCCGGTTCGGTAAGAGGTTTGGTAGTGACAACAGGTCCGGTAAGAGGTTTGGTAGTGACAGCCGGTTCGGTAAGAGGTTTGGTAGTGACATCCGGTTTCGTAAGAGGGTTGGTAGTGACAGCCGGTTCGGTAAGAGGTATGGTAGTGACAACCGGTTCGGTAAGAGGTTTGGTAGTGACAGCCAGCTCGGTAAAAGGTTTGGTAGTGACAACCGGTTCGGTAAGTGGTTTGGTAGTGACAACGGGTTCGGTAAGAGGTTTGGTAGTGACAGCCGGTTCGGTAAGAGGTTTGGTAGTGACAACCGGTTCGGTAAGAGATTTGTTAGTGACAGCCGGTTCGGTAAGAGGTTTGGTAGTGACAACAGGTCCGGTAAGAGGTTTGGTAGTGACAGCCGGTTCGGTAAGAGGTTTGGTAGTGACATCCGGTTTCGTAAGAGGGTTGGTAGTGACAGCCGGTTCGGTAAGAGGTATGGTAGTGACAACCGGTTCGGTAAGAGGTTTGGTAGTGACAGCCAGCTCGGTAAAAGGTTTGGTAGTGACAACCGGTTCGGTAAGTGGTTTGGTAGTGACAACCGGTTCGGTAGGAGGTTTGGTGGTGATAGCTGGTTCCGTAATAGGTTTGATAGTGACAACCGGTTCGGTAACAGGTTTGGTAGCGATAGCTGTTTCCGTGGGAAGTTTAGGAGTTACGGTTGGTTCGGTGGAATGACGCGTGGTTGTTGGTGGCACGACTTCTATTCTGTAGTTGGCTCTGAATCCTGGCATGGTCTTGATTATGTCTGATCGAAACCAGATTACCATCTCTGGACCAATAGAGGTTATAGGTTCTGGTAAGGTGGATCCACAAAATACCTGTCCGCCATAGGTTAAATGTTTGTTGAGGACACGAACGTAATCCCATCCGCAGTCATTGGACACTTCGAGCGAGAATGCGTCAAATGTGAGAGTAATTCTGACGTTCGGCTTAGTCACAGTAGGCTGACGATAATTGGATAAAAAGGAAAGAGTACAACAGAAATTAGAAATATTCCAATATACTTTTTATAATTATAAAGCTACCTATTATTCTGCAGCCAAAATGCAATAATACTTTTAATAGGTCTTGTATGCAAAACTCTCTCTCTCTGTCTCTTAGAATTCTCATATTTTATTAGTGACTCGTAACTATGTTTATTAGACAAGACAAATAAAATGGGTTTGATTCAATACTTTTGAGATAAGTCCATTTAGAACCTAGGCTACAGAGTTGCCGTTTATACAAATACATGTTTAGTCCTCTAATCAATCGTAAACTATTGATTGATATCGGTCTCAAATTATTAAGCTGAGATTGACTCGAATCTACTCCAACTAGGTAGAAGACAGGGAGCTGAAATTAATAACCATTTCGATTGCGAGGCTGAAGAACAGCATATGCGTCGACATAATAGGTATTCTGTACGATGGCAAAGATATAGCCCTTAAAAAGATATCTCCCTTCTACAATTTCAGCTAACATAAGGTTTCCAACTTTTACTTTTCATTTGGCAATCTTACTTTACTCATCGCTATAAACTTGACTGTGGGTGTTCTAAAACTAAAAGACATAATTAATGTTTTGTTTTAATCATGCAAGTATGTTCGATCGATACAGTTCTCTTGGCTAACACGGCCTCCATTTCCCGCTAAGTCCGAGTTGTCTCTATTGCCGAATAGCCCGGATCCCGTCTATCCCGCGTAGGCGTGTTGGGTATATCTTCATTAATTAGGTGGCGCCTTCTACCTCATTAATTACGTATAAACGTTTTATATATAGAAGAATTTAAGAATTGAAACCAAATGTAGCGTCCATTTATTACTTTATGACATGGCTATATTTTGTAAAAGGCTTAATTAATACCTTAATGTGATACACGCATATAATGTTTGCGGGGTAGTTTCCGTTTCCGAAGTTGGGTGATTCGATATAGCCAGAAGGTGATGTCAGCACAAACTCGCAAGCTGTAAGACACATTAAAACAGTCGGAATTAATGGATTCTGATCACAGTGTAAATGGTGGAAGAAGGGTAGAGGTAATTGCGATGGACATTGACGGTAGAACATTCTATTCCTTTATGTATTCCTATTAAAACAACACACAAATATATACACATATTAAATAAAAACTAAAATCATGGGCTGGGTTTGGGCTCTTGGGTCGGGTAACATCCCACTTAATGTCTGTCAACATATTTATACTTTTCGGCAAAACTGTAGAACTGATAACCTTTCATTTTACACTTGAGCTTGTCAGCAGAAATACATTCCGAAGAGTTTTCATCTGAATTGTTTTCCTCAACTCTACTCGGAACAGGCGATGATACAAATCTTAAGATTCGAGACACCCCCTCCTCCTTCCTCGTTCAGAATGTTGCTATGACAACTCTGTTGATCATTTAACTTTACTCACTCCACTACAGGGCATTTTGGGATTCAAACTTACGTGGTTCGTAATCTGGGTTGGTGTCCAGGCACTGTGGGCCTGTGAACTCTTCGGGGCACACACAGGTACAGTTGGGTCCCACATAGCCTTCATTAGAACAATCTAGAGACGGACAGCCTGAGCTACAATCGTAAATCGTATTAGCTGTTTTGGCGTCGAGGAAACTAAGACCCTTTCGTTGCCCGATGTACCTCATAAACAGTGGGTTCACCGTCATCATGGTTGGCAGGGACTTGTTAACGGCAAAACTCTGTCCAAAGGGAAGGGGGATGTAAAATCGGGAGAAAATTACGAATTCACAAAAAGGTTTATTTGCAAGATATGAGATTTTGCGAGCGAGCAACATTTCTGACACTTTTTAATGATGATAGACACTATTGAGCTATATTACTTTTCAGTGATTTTGAAACAGAAGCGCAATGTATTAAAACAATTTAAAAGATTCCGACTCGTTGCTTTAATGTGAGTCATAAATGGCGCATGGCCTAATATTCCAAATATTGGTAAATCTTTGAAAGTCTGGAGCCCCTAACCCTCCTTTTCTGCCCGACTCCAACCAAGGACACAAGGACTAATGTTATGTTAAACGAAGGTGGGACGGTGGGGTTTAGACATATTCAAACCTCGGTTTAACAGCCATTGTTAAACTCGACTTTAGACCGAGCTAAAGCTCGGCAACTGGTTAGAATTTTATTCGAATACAGAGATTATGTGGTATTACCAAGGAGTTAGTGCTTACGTAAGCGCCATAATGCATGATAGATTTCAAGTCGTAGGAAACGTTTGAAAAGACCAGGTCCGGGGTCCGTTTCTTGTAATTGCCCAACACGTCTGGCTGGACGTTATCCCCGTTCACCACCACGTAGTCATCTCGATCAGGCCTCGATTGCTCGTGAAAGAACCCGATAGAATGTCCGATCTCATGTGCTATAGTCCCAAGCTTCAAAGAAATAATCATGCATATATTATTATTATTATTATTATTATAGCAAGTAGAATAGAGATAGTTCCGTCACCGGAAGTCGCGCTTTTTCAATTCAATTCAATAAAAGGTTTATTATGTAAACATTCTAATACAAATATTAGTAAATATTACAAAAAGATACTGTAAGATGAATCTGTCTTAAAGCCTATCTGCACTAGTTTGGCCAGGAGTGATTATACCTCCCTGCATGGTCACTGACAGGTGGTTATCTCTTCAAATCAGCTCTCAATTAACAAAAGAAAAAAGGGGACCATGCGGACTAACGGTCACCGCTTAAGCATCGTTTGCTATATATAGAGGGCGCAAGTAGCTACAAGTAGTGCAGTTTATCACAAATAAAGCGATTAGAAACATGTACAAGGAAATAAAGAGTATGTAAACAGAGACAAGAAAAACAAGCATTACTACATGTAGGAGTCTACCATTTAATACTTAAAACTGAATATACAAACAATAATTTTTAAAGAATATTGGTAGATTGCGTGGGTGTATTTTGCAAGCGAAACAATAAGGGTTTCTTCTGAAGAGAAAAAACAGAAGAAAAAAAACTTAGTATGTGAGAAAGATAAGAGAAGGGGGTAGATGGGACAAGGGAGAAATGGAGGGAGAGAGGGAGGTAGATAGAGACACAGAGAGAGAGAGAGATGGAGTGCATGGGATAGAGGAGAGAGAGAGGGGGGGAAGGGAGGAGATGAAGAGACGGACGAAGAGATGGATAGATAGATAGAGAGAGAGAGAATACCTAAATATGCATGTTTAATAGACAGATATAAACATACATATTGAGTTCTGTATTGTTTTGTTACGGGCTATCTATATCTGTCGAAGTCTCAGTTTTGCATACGTAAACAAAGTCATAAGGATTTAACATTTCAGCTTTATTGAACACCAATTATATACCAAACAAGTCTTATACGGTATTATCGTAAAAAAGCTTACAATAAAATAGTTGTTCATAATGAACCATTTAAAGACATGCGTGTATAACCCAGAACAACAGGGCAATATCATAATGCAAACCAAAATTATACTAGACTTACTCTGGCGCATTTTGGTCCAATGGATATTTTCTGGGCCCCGTTGTTACCCGTCTTGCCAACAAAAGACCAGCAACTGTGAAGTAGAAAAAGATGCATAAAGTTTACGTTACCAATTTTTTCTTGTCTTATACTATTTTGTATTCATTACCTTGACAAATACCACACAATTATTGCATTAGTGAACATTTCAATGGAATTTACAGTCAGGGTCCCACTTTTAATGATGGATTGATGATAGTATATACTCGCAGCGCTACAGTTTTTCAAATTTATTTTGCACTTTTCCATTTAGTTTCAAGATAGTTATGTATCGATACTTTGCTCGTTGACATTTTCGACCTTAGTCATTCATGTCTAAAATTTGTCCCGTCGAAATAAAGTCTCCAGTGCAACGGGTATTGTGGTTCATGCGTACGAGTTGTTGTTACTCTGTGCCAATTAATTCACTCCAAACGATAAATGCCACTTGTATTCGTACTGCATAAAATGGAGACAAATACTTGTACTTCTTCTTCTTCTTTTCTTCTTATTGAATTCCTCCGCTTGACGAAGAACTGTGCGTGAGCATCGAAAAACAGTAGCACTGTTAGAGATAGTCTTTCTTCACGAGAAGAATGAAATACGGAAATATGTAAATGGATTCTTGTCATATAAGTGCAAATTGGCTCGGCCAATGTCAGAATCAGTCGTCTTCCCTATAGAAGGATAAGACCTGCGAGAGAGGCAGACATCAAATCAGGTTTCAGAGGGAGAAGCCTATATCCTGGATGGGTAGTTGAATGCTGGTCATAAACGATGACCTCGCGGTGAAGAAGAGAGGGCATTCCCCAATCATGTGCGTGACTGTCTCTTGCGAGTATCCACAAAAAGCAACTTGGGTTCTTAACAACCTTAGCGATTTGAACGGGGTTGTTTGTTGGGTAGACTCCAACAAGAAGTTGAGATTTGAGAGTGATGGCATATCTTTTGAGGGGCGTATGGGCATTTGATGGTAAAAGAAGGGCACAAAGTCCACTAGGTGACGTAAGCAAATTGAGCAAAGACTTGATGAGTAAGGAATCTATAGTTTCGTTGTAGACACAATAGGCGGTGTCACACAGAAAAATCCCTTAAAAAATCCCTTGAAAAATCCTTTCAAAGGAGAATTTTCTTGCTTCGTTAGATGATTTATGAAGGGATAATTGATGACAGACAGCAATTAAGAGGATAACTAAAATCCGGATTTTCGGCTTCTGTGTAACACCGCCTAATGTGTAACAGTAACTTGTGTTAACCAATTTCTTTCAAACGGCATACGACAGGGGATCAGCAACTATAGGTCTTCAATGAGGTAGATTGTATTTGGTGAGGCGCTTCTTGAACATAGTATATAGATCGTTTTAGAATGGGGCTGACGGTACATGTAATTGTTTTGCCATTTAGACATGCATTTAAGCCTATGTTTTAAAACAAGACAAAGAATGACAAAAAAATCGAACAACATAATCCAACCAGTAGAGGAAGAAGGAAATATTTGACTGCGTTGTTGCCTGCGTTCAGGAAATGTGTCCTTTGTCAAAACAATTCAGCTGAATAACTGCACTATTAATGTCCCAATAATTGTTTTCATTTTAATTTCGCGACTTCATTATCGCATGGAGCGTGAAAGACCACACAACTCAATAACGCAAATTTAATCTTTGCGACGTCATTCTTGCATGGAGCGTTAAAGACCACACAACTCAATGACGCAAATTTAATCTTTGCGACGTCATTCTCGCATGGAGCGTCAAAGATCACACAACTCAATGACGCAAATTTAATCTTTGCGACGTCATTCTTGCATGGAGCGTCAGCAAATAACGCATCATACACAAAGTGCATACTTACTCTGAGCCTTTGAAGAAGGAGATGTGTTGATGATGTCCGAGCTGGTTGCTTACATTCAAAGTATATGGAACAAACTGCAGGCAGGTCTCCTCTTCCCAATGTAGCAGTGCATTGCGGATGACATCTGAATCATTACCTACATGCAGTGGCGTAATGAGCAAAAACGTTTGGGGGTGCTGACAAAAAAAATCCGCAGCACCCTACTCTAACATGCAGGCCCCGCTGAACGTTTCGCAAAGTGGGGTCTAGGGGCATAGCCCCGGCGGGGGTCAAGGAGTGGAGCCCCCAAAGCTCAAGGGGTATGGGCATCAGTGGCGGATCCAGGAATTTCTTACCGGGGGGGGGGGCACAAAATGGCATGGCGTTAAATATTATGTAAAACGATGAAGCGACAGAACCAGGGGTGTCGATTTGTATCCGTGGTTGGGGGGGGGGGGATGAAAGGTGCCAAAATATTTTCGGCAATGGATCAAAGCAACCAAGAGGTAGAAGCGTGTGGCAGGTTGCACCCCTCCCTTCCAAGTTATTAACTTTTTCAAGTCACCCTCAATAAAGATAACATTTCAGAAAATATGGGAGCCATGTGGATCCCACATGGGCTTGCTACCTGGGTTATTATCCTCTCAAGCGCGTATCCAGGATTTTAGTTTAGGGGGCGGTAGTGAGCACGCGAAGCGCGCTCCCTAGGGCGGTGGGTGCAGGGAAGGGGAAAGCTTTGATGTTTCATTAAATTATTTGAGAAAGAAGACGATTCGTTGTACCGTTCTCGACTCTTAATCTTTGTCTGAATTCAGTTTTCCCCCCCCCCCTCCCGCGCGAAGCGCGGAAGCTTTGACGTTTCATTAAATTATTAGAAAAAGAATACGATTCGTTGTACCGTTTTCGCCTCTTAATCTTTGTCTGAATTCAGTTCCCCCCCCCCCCTCCCGCGCGAAGCGCGGAAGCTTTGACGTTTCATTAAATTATAAGAGAAAGAAGACGATTCGTTGTACCGTTCTCGAATCTTAATCCTTGTTAAATCCTTTTGACGTTTCATTAAACTATTAAAGAAAGAAAACGATTCGTTGTACCGTTCTCGACTCTTAATGTTTGTCTGAATTTAGTTTCCCCCCCCCCTCCCGCGCAAAGCGCGGAAGCTTTGACACTTCATTAAATTATTAGAGAAAGAAGACGACCTGTTGTACCGTTCTCGACTCTGAATTCTTGTTTGGATCCAGTTCCCCCACCCCCCTCCCACCCGAAGCGCGGTAATCCTTGTCTGAAATCATTTTCGCCCATCCCGCGCAAAGCGTGGAAGCTTTGACGTTTCAATAAATTAATACTCTCAATCCTTGTCTGAATTCGTTTTCGCCCATCCCGCGCGAAGCGCGGAAGCTTTCACGTTTCATTAAATTGTTAGAGAAAGAAGACGATTCGTTGTATCGTGTTCTTGTCTGAATTAATTCCTCCCCCCCCCCTCCCGCGCGCAGCGCGGAAGCTTTGACACTTCATTAAATTATTAGAGAAAGAAGACGATTCATTCTACCGTTTTCCACTATTAATCCTTGTCTGAATTCATTTTCGCCCATCTCGCGTAAAGCGCGAAAACTCTGACGTTTCATTAAACTATTACTCTTAATCCTTGTCTGCATTCATATTCTCTCATTCCGCGCAAAGCGCGGTAGCTTTCGCGTTGCATTAAATTATCAGAGAAAGAAGACAATTCGTTGTATCGTGTTCTTGTCTGAATTCAGTTTCCCACCCCCCCCCCCCCCTCTCACGCGCAAAGTGCAGAAGCTTTGACACTTCATTAAATTATTAAAGAAGGAAGACGATTCGTTGTACCGTTCTCGACTCTTAATCCTAGTCTGAATTCAGTTGCTCCCTCCCCCCCCCCTCCCGAAGCACGGAAGCTTTGCCGTTTCATTATATTATTAGAGAAAGAAGACGATTCGTTGTACCGTTCACTACTCATAATCTTGTCTGAATTCAATTTCCCCACTGGGCCCTATTAACGGTACATAATGCAGTGTTACATGATGTCAGTATGGAACGCCCGGCAGTGCTTGTCACAGTTGCTTCTGTAAAGGATTTTTGTTTTACTAGTGTTACTGTTAGTGGCCACGGCCCCTTAGTGACTATAAAAAAACATGTGCTTTTCCTGGCCATTTGGGAATGTGTCAGTTTGCAACCGAAATGGAGAAACGCGCATTTTGTTGAAAATCATGTGATATCACCAACATTTATACATGACTTGTAGATCTATATGGAATTGAAAATAAGTCATGGTTCAATTTTATTTGGGGGGGCTGGCGCCCCCCCTAGCTCCCCCACCAGTACGCCAGTGCCTAAATGTATAGTCACAAGCAACAGAATATACATTATTTTTGGAGGCGTGAGCGCCCACTGAGAAGGGTATTAGGGGACAAATCTGTGCCATAGATTTTGGATTTAGGAATGGAAATCTAAAATGAACTTCATGCGATTGCATTTCCCCCAAACCATTGTCGAAGAATGATTTCAGAATTCTTCTTACTGTCGTCGTTTGTCATATAATTATAATTATGGTTCGTTTACCAAAGCACATGTAGATGAATTAGACAGATCGGAGCCCCAACTACTTTGAAGTGAAAATCGAGTCTCTATACCTTTGAATTGGAGCCGATCGGGGCAAAGACGGTGATTGAATAGTGGATTTACACAAATCTGCATACTATGAATCAGCTTTATTCTGACATTTAGCGAAGTTTGGTAACTTTGAAAACACCAAACCCCCAAAATCCTCCGTTTATTACAAAACATATACGTCAACCTAATGTAATTCGATTCTTGTTCTGATTTTTTTTTTCGGGGGGGGGGGGTTGGGATGAGGGGCTAGTTTAAAGAGAAATTGTTTAAAAATTGTTAAACACACTGTTATACTTGTTGAAAACACCTTGCATTCATCTACTCACTTTAAATTTATGCTTGTTAGAATTTTCCAGCAAATTTGTCAGAAAAAGTGTCTTCCCCCCCCCCCCCGCCTTTTCCCCCGTCCCATCGAAATAGTCAAAAATACGCCCTTTTTATGATAACATTTCTTTGACTCACTCGATGTTTCTTCTATCACGTATGGGATTGTGTTTTGGGGCCATCGCTTTACCAGGTTAGTGGTGGCTTTTCTCTTCACGCGTCGCGATCCGTAGACGTCGTCGGGCACTTGGCTGCCCAGGAAAGCAGCCATCTGATCGGGACTGAGCATCATATCGCCACCGTAGGCGCCTGCAGCCGATGTTTGCTCGTCGGGAGGCACATCAGGTTTCAAAGGATCGTAGTTATCATCCTGAAAGAGTGGAATGGAGATTTCTAGCTGAATATTATAGCACTTTATATGTTAATCTGTATGAAGGTTCTATTCTTCCGTGAGTCAATTTTCAGGAGATAGACAAACACAAAAGATCTATAAAATCACCGTTCATCTATAGGCAGTTTAGGACGTAAGTTATACGTGTGTAGGCTTATAAAACAAGGAATGCGATGTGCCGAAACTTTCTAAAGCTGCATGTAGGAACGTCTTTGTAAATAAAATAATTTGGCTCATCTTTCTTTAGCATTTGGTATGATTAAATGAATATTACATTGTGTAGTTCCTTCCCTTTTTGTTTTTTGAATAGCAAGGGGCATCACGGCATGCGAACATCTTCTAATATTACTGTTCTACCGATATCTATTTGTTTTTGATTTGAAAGCAGTTACCACATAAAACGATCTTACTATTTAACGTTATATCACTCGGTGACAACTAAAATCCATGCCGTACAGTTCTACGATAAGAGAAGATTTGTAACTTATTTACCGCCTCTGTAGGGTTGTCCGAAGGTCTACCATGGACGGACATTACCAGGATGGAAAAGACCATGAGTACAGCAACGACCCTCAGTTTGTATTGTCTCCCTGACTTCTTCATCGTAGTCGTCACTTTCGGTACCATGCTCTATGTCGTCTCGATGTTCATTCACATCAACGTCTTTTGCGAATGCCAGATTTCCAAAGCCTATAGTTCTCTCTTAAACACCTGATTTCTTGCCTATACAATTGCATTTGTTTTCGATCATCTTATGTTTCAGCCTCTCAAGACATATTTCAGATTCAGATTCAGATTCAGATTTTATTTCCGTTTCAAAACAAACAAAATATAAACAGACATAATATAATACAGTCAAATATAATATAAACAAAGTAAATTCAGTATTATGTAGAACAAAATTTAGTTGATAAGAAATATTGGGAAAAAACAGTACTGAACAATAGAAAAAAAATGACCTTGATGAAGTAATTCAAAACGGAGGGGCTTGCTAAAAAAGCAGAGCTTGTATGAGGCAAGCCCCTGACTTAGTTACATGGATACGCTTAAATAATTATGGTCGAAAGCTAATACCAGTAAAACACACTAAAAGGGAATACAAAAAAAAAGAAAAAGTAAAAGTAAAAATAAAAGTAAGATAAATATAGTAACAGAGAGAGAGAGAGAGAGAAAGGGGAGAGAGCAAGAGAGAAATAGAGAGCGAGAGAAAGGCAGGAAGAAGGAGATGGGGACAGGAGGCAGGTACACCACCAGGTCGTTAGGCTTGTTTAGATTATTCTTAAAAAAGAAACAAAAAGGAGGAAAGGAGGAATAACAAAAGGAAAGATTTGTTTTATCTTTCCGTAGGTTTAGATTTTTGAGCTTGGCTTGTTGGTGGGGAGTATTGGCTGATTAATGTTTTCCTAAGTTTACGTTTAAAATTGCTAAGACTAGGGGCTTCTTTTATATCGTTGGGAAGAGAATTCCAATAGGCACATCCAGCGAAGACAAATGAATTCTGTGCAAATAATGTTCGTGTTAAGGGTAAGTGATAACAGTTCCGTTGTCTAGTCGGGTAATTGTGTACAGAGGCATTTTTGCAGAACATATCGGAAAAAATTGCGGGGAGGTCGTCTTTACTTAGTTTGAACATAAATTGGCCGAGTTGGAACACATAGATATCTTTCACTTTGAGAATATTATTTTCGAAAAATAAAATATCTGTATGAGATCTGAATTGTGTTTGAAATATTATCCTGAGTGCTTTTTTCTGCAGCAGTAGGATCCTATTTAATTGTGTTTGTATTGCACATCCCCATGCTATAATCCCATAATTAATGTATGGTAATATTAAGGTATGATATAATGTAAGAAGAGTTCGAGAAGGAAGAAAGTATTTGAGTTTATTGATAATACCGATGTTTCGTGAAATGGTTTTGCATATATTATCGATGTGAGTTTTCCATGATAATTTTTCATCAATAAACACTCCTAAGAATTTGGTTGTAGAAACATTAACAAGAGCAGCGTTATCAAAAATAATTTCACCTGGCAAACTATTGATTTTGTTGCTAAATAGCATGTAATTGGTCTTCTGCAGATTAAGTGATAGTTTATTAGCCTTGATCCAGTCAGTTACATTTTTTAGTTCAGAGTTTACAGTTCTAAGTAGTTGGTTCGCATTCTCATGAGAAAAGAAAATGTTGGAGTCATCTGCAAAAAGTATAAATGATAATAAATTTGAAGATTTTTGAATGTCATTAATATAGGTAATAAAAAGAAGGGGGCCGAGTAGGCTACCCTGCGGTACACCACAGGTAATAGGAAGTGTAGAAGAATTACAGTTGTTAACCGATACAAATTGAGTCCTATCTGTAAGGTAACTCCTGAACCACTCCAAGGCCTTCCCTCTAATACCATAGTGAGAAAGTTTGTGAAGAAGAATTTCATGGTTTATAGTGTCGAAGGCCTTGGAGAAGTCCAGGAATATACCTACAGTATGCAAACCTTTATCAGTGGAAGTGGTAACTGTTTTCATAAAAGACAAAATTGCATGCGAGGTGCTATGATTTTCACGGAAACCAAATTGGAAGTGTGAGAAAATATTGTATTTTTTAAAAAACGTGGTTGTTCTTGTAAAAACAAGTTTCTCAAGAACTTTAGATAACGAGGTAAGTAAGGATATGGGACGATAGTTAGTAACGAGTTGATTATCACCTTTCTTAAAGAGGGGTATGACCTTGGCGATTTTCATTTGATTAGGTACCCGACCTGTATGAAGTGAAATATTAAAGATATGCACCAAGGGATGAACAACAGCTCTGATAATTTTCTTTAATAAGAAGTTGGGAATACAGTCAAACCCGGCGCTCTTCTTAATCAGAAGATTGTTAACAATGTTTATAATTTCTCGAGTGTTTGTAGGATTAAAAAAGATGGAATTTTGGTTAGGGTTGACAAGAAAATCGTTAAATGATTTGGTACTCTGTGGCACTTGTTGTGCCAGTTTGTTACCCACTTGTGAAAAGTACGAGTTAAAATTTTCAGCGATTGTATCAGCATCATCGGTGATAGTATTATTGGTTTTGATTTTTGTTATTGCTGATCCTTTTTTCTTCTTATTTAATACACCATTAATGATTTTCCATGTATTCTTCATATCATTTTTGTACAAATTGAGTTGTGAAGTATAGTATTCTTTTTTTGAAATACGTAATAAAGTGGTAAGGGTGTTTTTATATAATGTGTACTTAGAGCGAGATTCGTCACTTGGTTTTGTAATATATTTATAATACAAGTTATTCTTGCGGTTGATAGATCTTAAAAGCGATTTTGTAATCCAAGGATGAATTGGGATCTTTTTATAGTTTGATCTCCGGTGGGTGGTGAGGGGAACATGAGTATTTAAAGACGCTGTAAGCTTATTGATAAAGAAGAAACATAGACAAACTTGAAAACTGCGGTGGTGCAAAACGCATTCATACAGCCGTCTGGGTAAATATGTACAGAACGAGAGTGTTGTTTCTATCAACTTTGTTATAGATTTAGAGATGACGTTGACAGTGAATGTGGGTCAATGTTACATAAATATGGGCCTCCATTCATTCTACGGGTCGACACCTCTGGTTCAACCCCATTCTTCTTATGAACTAAGTTCATTTTATACTTTGTATTAAGTTAGTGAATGTGAGAGTCCCTTATTAATGAACCCATTCATGTCAAACAATTCTCTGATATGTAAATATATTCTGCTTCCCGTGTAGAAGGCCCTACGATGGCTGTGAACGCGGCAATATTGTGCCACACCTATGTTATGGCGCGTCCGATACCTATATTTGTGTGCGCCCCGCGCTTGTGGTGTGTGTGTATTAAGGGCGGGGGCGGGGGTTGGTTGAAATTAGTTTTCTGATATGTGTTGTCAACTATCTCACTCCGTCTGGACTCTGGACTCTGGGGAGCAATAACAAATCACCCGAAAACGCGACACATGATACGACTCTAGACGATTGAATGGCACATCAAAGAGTAGACCAACACACAACCGCCAATAAATTGTGTGGTAAGTAATTTTTTAGACCATTCCAGCCTCCTGTATTTTCTTAAGGCATTCACTTCTATGTCGCACACTTCCGCATACGGTATGACTCGCTTTTTTTAACACAGACTATGTGAACCAAAGACAATCGAGACATAACCCAGTTAGTGCACGTATGACGTAATGGGCATGGAGCAAATAAAGCGTGAGTTCTACAAAACATATCCTGTGTACACTCCTTCACGTCAAAACTATGATAATATTGGAGAATAGAAGAGATGAAAGAAAATGGGGGACAGAAAAGATTAGGATCAGTCTGTCAACATAAAGTCAACGATGCGCTGTATATAATTATCCTGATATGTGAAGCAAAATTTACCCCTGCCCTTTTATCTTTGGTATACCATAGACTATATTATATTGCATTATGTTTAAATAAAAGAAATACAATTAAAACAGAAAAAGTAAATTTTCGACAGCATTATTATCTCCGAAAAACTGACAATAGACTGATAGTGCAAATAGAATTAATATGATGGATTTGATCATGTAAACAATGGTAGGATTCTTTGCCCATGAGATTGTGTGGGTTTTGTGGAGCAAACGTATTGACTTTCATACACTGGTCCTTAGCAGCCTACAGTTCATGATTCAAATGAGCGAATAAATACACACGTACGTACCCCTGTAGCATCTGAATCCCGTTATTTTCGGGAAGGGGCAAAATAGCCCGATACGATTTTCCCCTTGATAAAGTACCCCAAAAGTGCCCCTTTTATACATAGGAAAATGCCATTTTAACTTTGTAAGTGCCCCTTTTTACATAGAAAAAGTTCTCCCTTTACTTTGACAAGTGCTTCTATTATTTTTTTTAATTGTCCCTTCCCCTTTCCACCTCTGATAAGTGCCCCTTTTTTTAGACACGTACCCCTTTTCCTTTGACAAGTTCCCATTTTCCTTTGCAATAAGTGCCTTTTTTTAAATCTCTAGTAAGTTCACCTTTTGAGGTAAGAGGAGCGCCCCTTTTCACTTTTGATAAGCGCCCCTCTCACCTCTGATAATTCTCCTATTAAAATATGAGAGGTTTGATTTTTTGCTTTGAAAAGTTCCCTTTTTCCTTTGTAAAAAATGGCCCCTCCCCTTTTAAAACTCCCCCTTTTTTATCTCGGATAAGCGCACCTTTTATTTTCACATGTTCCTCCTTTCTTTTTTAATAAGAGCCCCTTTCCCTTCTCATAAATGCCCCTTTTCATCTCTTGTAAATGACCCTATTCAATTCGTTTTACTTTGACAAGGGCCCATTCCCCTCCTGATAAGTGCTCTTCACATCTCTTATAAATGCCCCTTTTATTTTGAAACTTCCCCTTTTTTTTTCTTATTAATGCTCTTTTCCTTCTTATAAGTGCCCCTTCCCCTTTTTATAATTACCCCTTTTCATCTTTGACTAGTGCCCCGTTTATTTTAACATTGCCTCTTTTTCTTTTCAATGAGAGCGTCTTCCCCCTTCTTATAAAAGCCCCCTTTCACCTCCTATTAAAATCTGATCGATACCCCTTTTCTTTCAACAAATGCACATTTCCCTTTATCATTAGTGCCCCTTTTTAATTCTCATAAGTGCCTCTTTTCATGTATGGTCATTGCCCCTTTTCAGATGCGATAAGTGCCCCTCTTCACCTCTGATAATTACCTTTTTATCAATGATATGTGCCCTTTTTCCTTTCTAATATGGAACCGACTAAGAGCAACCCCCCCCCCCCAAAGTTCGCTCGTAGTTATAGATGTTTTAATTTTGTAACTTATCAAAGGTCTTGTCAGTCTTCCGTTATGAGAATGTGCTTGTAACCCCTTCAGGATTAGGTTTTTCCTCTTTATAAGATGTAATTTTTCGCACCGCGACCTGACAAATCTTTATAATTTTCAGACCATCACACCCAACTGCAAAGTATGATACTGAAGCAATATTTGTTATGATGTGTAAAAAGAAAAAGAAACAAATATTGAAACCATCCCTGATAAGCTTATGTCGGGCTAGACGTAAGGAAAATATCTATGCACTTATTTTTTTGCTAGCCCCAAGAGATCTGTAATCACAATAGGGGTATATACCAATGTCTAAAAAAAATGTATTTTTTTCGCTTTGAGATTTCCCTTTGAAGGTGCCCTTTTTTCAGAAAATGCCCTTTTTGTTGATGCCCCCCCCCCCCACTTTGGAAGTCGCTCCGCCGCCTCTGTTGCAGCCACCAGAGATTTTTGGGAACGCCAAATAATTAGGTAAGAATTATTCGGGGAAAAAAATGATCATTTTCTATTTGCATATATTACTGTCATGTAAATGGGCCGAAATGACACTAAAACTTTACCGTGTACCCCAGGCGCTGTAGTAGCTATATGAATGTTTTTTTCCCATCTTCATTATTATATTATCAGAAACTGAAGAGTTGATGTCTGAACGAGATATGACGCCCATAAAAGTCTGAACGCACATGTCCTAGGATAATTATGTTTGATCTATATGGATCTATTTGATATTCACAAACATCTTCAATATATTTTGTTCTTCTGTGCAGCTCAATGTTTGCTCTTTGTAACTTAACCTGCCAAATGCCTCACATAGATGAGCCGTTCTGGTGGTGTAGCGGTGGGCAAGGAGACATGTGGTCCCCCCTCCCCAATCCAGTGTTGAAAAATAAAATAAAAAATAAAGAAAAGGCGCTTATTAAAGAGAGAAAGGGATAACGGAAAAAGGATGAGAAAAGATTTTAAACGCCTGGACCACCTCCCCACCCTTGCACTTATTGGTAGCCTTATAAATTCGCATTATATTTTCCAAGGAAGAAAGATGCCCCTCCCAATCATCCAGTGCCCCTCAATGGATGGGCTCACACTACGCAACTAAGCAGCATTTGCAAATAGCAGTTTGACTCGTCACGGAGGAATAAAATCATTCGGATGAGAATAAATAATGATTCACTGTGTTGTTTTTCTAGTTCTTCAAGAATACGTGCCCCTTGAGCGACTAAAGCAGGGCTCCCACTTAGCCGAATTGGATCCTCGAGTTGTTGCGAGCTGGCGCGATCGTATGGCAAGCCGTTTTATCATTAAAACATATTTCTTGATATCAAGAATTCAATTCTTGATATCAGGAAATCGAATTCCTTATATCACGAAATCGAATTCTTGATATCAAGAATTACCATTGCTTTACAACATAAAATTCTTTCTTGATAACAAGAATTGATTTATTGATATCAATTAATAATAAAACGGCTTGCCATAAGATCGCGCCAGCTCGCCACAACTCGAAGTTCCAACTCAGCTAAGTGGGAGCCCTGCTTAATACCCCCTTCACATACACGGATTTTTCTAACGCGTCCATATGGATCCTGCAAATTCACGGATCTTTCACGGATCCTTACGATTTGGCCACTTTTATGACCTATTTAAGAGTTGTTACAAGTTATTACGAGCTGTTTACGGTATATTACGGATTATTACGATTTATTACGATGTATTTACAGCAAAATTCCATGAGTTGTTACAAGTTGTCACAGATAATTACGGTCAAATTACGGGCAATTTACGACCTGTTTACGTGTTGTTACGAATAGTTACGAGTTTAGTTATGAGTCCTTAAGCTACAGTCCCATATACGTCCCGGACCGTCCCGGACCATCCCGGACCCCATCCGGGGTGATCCGGGATTCGGTCCGTGTTGACACCGTGTTGGCACCGGGGTGGTCCTGGGTGGTCCTGGATGGTTCTGGATGGTCCTGGATGGTCCTGGGCGGTCCGGGAGTCGACCCCGGATGTTTTTGACGGTCAAAAACTGCCGGGGTGGTCCGGGACGGTCCGGGACAATAGTTTGATCCGGGGTGATCCGTGTAGCCACCGTGCTGGGTCCGGGGTCATCCGTAGTGGCGCCGGGGCGGTCCGTGTTGATCCGTGGCAGTCCGGGAGTGAGTTATTGATCGCCCAGGACCATCCAGGACCATCCAGGACCACCCCGGTGCCAACACGGTGTCAACACGGACCGAATCCCGGATCACCCCGGATGGGGTCCGGGATGGTCCGGGACGGTCCGGGACGTATATGGGACTGTAGCTTAAAAGCATCACACTTTTTTGAACAAAACATCCCGGACCATCCCGGATCACCCCAGACCATGGTCCGGGATGGTCCGGAGTGGTCCGTGCTCGTCCGTGCTGGTCCGGCTTTATATGGGACTGGGGCTTTAGGGTTTGCAGCTTTTATACTTTTTCCCAAATCGTAAACAATACGTAAGAATACGTAAAGTATTCGTATATAATAATAATAATTACAGTGCTTATATAGCGCCTAACACTTACTTTATCAGAAGTCTCTAAGCGCTCTACAAAACACTCATAACTACACGTAAAGTGCTCGTAATAGTCCGTAAAGCTACAGTCCCATATACGTCCCGGACCGTCCCGGACCATCCCGGACCCCATCCGGGGTGATCCGGGATTCGGTCCGTGTTGACACCGTGTTGGCACCGGGGTGGTCCTGGATGGTCCTGGATGGTCCTGGATGGTCCTGGATGGTCCTGGGCGGTCCGGGAGTCGACCCCGGATGTTTTTGACTGTCAAAAACTGCCGGGGTGGTCCGGGACGGTCCGGGACAATAGTTTGATCCGGGGTGATCCGTGTAGACACCGTGCTGGGTCCGGGGTCATCCGTAGTGGCGCCGGGGCGGTCCGTGTTGATCCGTGGCAGTCCGGGAGTGAGTTATTGACCGCTCAGGACCATCCAGGACCATCCAGGACCATCCAGGACCACCCAGGACCACCCCGGTGCCAACACGGTGTCAACACGGACCGAATCCCGGATCACCCCGGATGGGGTCCGGGATGGTCCGGGACGGTCCGGGACGTATATGGGACTGTAGCTTAAAAGCATCACACTTTTTTGAACAAAACATCCCGGACCATCCCGGATCACCCCAGACCATGGTCCGGGATGGTCCGGAGTGGTCCGTGCTCGTCCGTGCTGGTCCGGCTTTATATGGGACTGGGGCTTAAACAATCCGTAAACAAATCGTAAACTAACCGTAGAATATCGTTTAAAAAATTGTTACGAGTCCTTTACGGATTCCTGCGAGCAGTTTACGGATGGTTACGTGTTGTTGCGAGCTGTGTATGATACTTACGGATCGCTACGAGCTATTTACGAAAAAATAAATCCGTGGACAATCGTAAAAAGATTTTTGACATGTCATAACATTCGCCTCTCCTTTCACGGATCCTTACGCGTATCTGCGAGTTGTTGCGAGTTGTGACGAGCTATTTACGGATACCAGCGAGTAATACGGATGCTTGCGATTGACTACGAGTTGGCGATCCGTAAAGACTCGTAACGAAAATCCGTGTATGTGAAAGGGGTATGAGAGTAGGAAGTTCACAAGTTCATCCCTCGAATATGATTGGTCCCGGCCTATGCAAAATTTCCCCTTCAACAAAATTCAGGTTATTGTTAAAGACCCTATCCGATGAAAGTAAAGCTCGATATAAATGGAAAACCGAATGTATGTAGATTACAAATAAAAAGTATTTACCCTTTCATTATTGCACTAAAGCAAATTAAAACCTCATTTTCCACACCCCTCTATATTACGGGTCAACAGAGGTCAAATTTGTCGAATTTTATACGGTGATGACATAACATGTGAACCCGACCGGTTCACTTATATAGCTTAGGCGATGAGCCTTGCTAAATGAATGCAACATCATTGTGAATATGCGTACAGATCATGTCATCAAGTCGATAGCAATTTTTTAGGTCGACAACTTCCGATTTGTAAAGCTTTTCTCTGTCTTCTTGTAGCTTTGTTCGACTATAAAATGAATTAGATTCCCAATTCTGTATCAAACCAAAGTGCCCAAGTCCTTACTACTCGGCCCCTCTGCACTTGTTTCCTCGAACTTGATTTGATATATGGGCTTGAATGAGAACAAACTGACCCAACCCCTTTTCCAACGGAATTTTTGGTCAATTTTTTTTCGTTTTCGCAATTGTCATTCATATTCCTTTTCGAATAGTTGGTGCAGGGGTAGATTGGCTAAAACAAACCTCGGGACGTGGAGTGTTAGACGACTTAAGTAATTGGCCAACGTGATATTTCGGGACAGGCTCTTAAACCTTCATAATTATTAAAGTAAACTCAAGATGTCATCCCATGAATATGATTGTAATAAACCGTGAAAATGTACTTAAAATGAAAAAACAAAAAGCTAAAGGTATACTTAGTTTTATGATTGTCGTGAATCTTTAATAGAAGTAAGTCCAATACAAGGTACATACATAACACATAAAATTTGTAAATTAGTTTACATCTTCCATGCACGATAATGCCTCAGTTAGTACCATAAGCAAACATAGAAAGATAAAGTAAGTGACAAAGCAGCGGATATTTAGTGTTTAAAATTATCGTTTGATTCTGTAAAGAGGATTGTACCGTCATTTCCAGAACTCAACTACTCAAGATTATGTTTAAAAGATTAGTTCCCTTGGTTAAAACTGCTTTTACATTGCGTATTAAGTTGTTGTTATGATCTGATTATTACATAATCAATACATTTTAGCTGTAATAGATATTTCGTTCTGCCATAATGTACTTTAATGGAGGAGAAAACTATATGACAGACATAGAAGTTACTTGCTGGACTATGAAGGACTAAAGATTAAAATTCTCACTGTGCCATGCTAATTATGTTCATTTGTCGTTTCCATCTATTCCTTTTATCGTTGATGGCCATTCCCAACTTTCTATTCCCATTTCCATGCCTTCCGTTCCCGATAGTTGATCCAGTGAAGTCCACAATGCTATTTCCATTGTCGACCATGTTCGCTTGACCATCCGACGTTTCCATATCCATTCCCGTTGCCATATCCATTCCCGTTGCCATTGCCATTACCGTTGCCATTACCATATCCATTGCCGTTCCAGTTTCCGTATCCATTGTCGTTTCCATTTCCGTATCCATCCCCGTTTCCATTTCCGTTTTCTTGCCCGTATCCTTCTCCATTCCAATTATCATACCAATTTCCATTCCCATTCCCATTCTCATTCCCGTTCCAATAGTCATTCCCGTTCCAATACTCATTCCCGTTTCCATTCCAATTTCCATTGCCATTCACTCTGCCATTACCATTGCCATTACCATTACCATTGCCATTACCGTTGCCATTACCTCTACCATTACCGTTGCCATTACCGTTGCCATTGCCGTTGCCATTACCGTTGCCATTACCGTTGCCATTACCGTTGCCATTACCGTTGCCATTACCGTTGCCATTAACATTGCCATTTCCATTGCCATTCACGTTGCTATTTCCATTGTCACCATCGCTGCTATCTTCATCGCTGCTATCTTCATCGACCCGTTCTACTCCTACGTCTGTGTCTGGTGATTCAAAAGTTTCCTCTGGTACAGCTCGATATGAAGCTGAGAACCCCAGCCTGGTCCATCTGGAATAAGTGTCAGTGACCAACGTCAAGTCCATAGTATTATCTAGGGAAACGACTGTACCCGCAGGCAAACTATTGCCACACAGACTGAAAATTAAAAGGAAATAAAAAATTATCAATATGAAGGAACGAAGGCCCGTCAATGTGACGAGAAATATATTTTTAACAGTTAAAATAATTTACTGGTATTCATTAACATAATCAAATTAACACACTAATCTAAAGGTCTGTGTGATCTCATGAAAATGCCATTCTCATAAAACAAGCATCTAATCTGTCTTAAAAGTAAATGTTGCTCTTAAATTATTATTTTTAGAGCATAATGAGATGTGAATATAATACGTTTCTTAAATGATAATTGGTGAATAATTCTTTGTGTTAGAATAACATTGTATTCTATCAATTTCGAAATGCAATTCTGATGAAAGAAAATAATGATTAATTCATTTCAAATGTATTTACAGATTCCCTTTTGTAATTAAACGATGTATCAGTATACTTACACGAGAGGGACAGCGATTCCTTTGCCAATATCAACCTTGAGGGAGTCCTTCGAACAGGTGACATCATCTATCAAGTCGAAAGCCTGGAAGGTAAGCTCTATTCTGTAGTTTTCCTCCACCTCTAGGGAAAAGGTATCATGTAGCATTCCTGGACATACATCGGGCCAATTAGGGGAGGTAATAACTTGGACCTCCCCTTCGGCTGATTGGGGGTCATCTACAGTGTAGTAGGAAGCAGAGAAACCACGTTCTTTTACGGTACTATCGGTGATGAACTCCAGTGTCATGGTGTTGGCAAGAGATACCAGCGAGTTTTCTGGCTGTTTGTTACCACACAGTCTGTGAAGGAAAGTGCAATCATCAAGGGTTCATTACTGATGGATTTGATATATAAAAAATAGCTACATCAAATATCTGCCCGTTTGAAAGCTAATCTCATTTAATTAATATCAGCAAACTCTGTATGGTTCTAGGACAATTACCCTTTGGGCAATCACCTCCGGAAAACTAATAATTCCTCGTGGGGTAATTTTCCGGGGGTAGTTTTCCGGGGGCAATTGTCCTGATACGCTCTGTATAATCCCATTTCGGAATGGTATAGCAGCGTAAAGATAGAATACCTTAGCTGTTGAAATTAATGCATGGGATTTGTTATCAAATACTAATATGGATTTGAAAGTATCCGAAAAGACACAATGTGAACACAACCTGTGATTACAGATGGACGAAACAGTAACAGTCTCTAAATATTACTATTTTTTTGTTTGCCACTTTCCACAATAAAATTCTCTGAATGTTATATTGGCATGTACCCAATAACCAAATGTAACTAAAAAGGGGAATGATAGAAATTTGAGTTTTGAAGTCTGCACATGGTTGAAAAGGCAATATATGGCTATTTTTTCATGCACAGCGTACACATCTGAACAAATTTAAAAAGGAAAGGGATATCTGTTTAAAGAACTTCACTTACTTCATCGGCATGCGAATGTCATTTCCGAGATGGACAGCAACGTAATCGTAATTGCAACAGGTGGGTATATTATAGAAATCGTTTTCATCGCTTTCAATCTCGAAGTCTTCGAACTCCAACACGATCCTTTTTCCAACGGGAACATTGATGGTGTAGGTACATTTCTGATTGTTAGGATACCTTCCTGGATAGTTTGGTGAGTTGAAATGGCCTGAGAGTCTGGTGTAGGTGGCCAAGCATTCGTTCGGAGGGAGACTGGGTGTAGGTTCAGTGGTGACACGAGCGGTTGTAGTGACAACTGGTTCTGTTGTAGGTTCAGTGGTGACACGAGCAGTTGTGGTGACAGCTGGTTGTGTTGTAGGTTCAGTGGTGACACGAGCGGTTGTAGTGACAACTGGTTCGGTTGTAGGTTCAGTGGTGACAACTGGTTCTATTGTAGGTTCAGTGGTGACACGAGCGGTTGTAGTAACAACTGGTTCTGTTGTAGGTTCAGTGGTGACACGAGCAGTTGTGGTGACAGCTGGTTCTGTTGTAGGTTCAGTGGTGACACGAGTGGTTGTAGTGACAACTGGTTCTATTGTAGGTTCAGTGGTGACACGAGCGGTTGTGGTGACAGCTGGTTCTGTTGTAGGTTCAGTGCTGACACGAGCAGTTGTGGTGACAACTGGTTCTGTTGTAGGTTCAGTGGTGACACGAGCAGTTGTGGTGACAACTGCTTCTGTTGTAGGTTCAGTGGTGACACGAGCAGTTGTGGCGACAGCTGGTTTTGTTGTAGGTTTAGTGGTGACACGAGCAGTTGTGGTGACAGCTGGTTTTGTTGTAGGTTCACTGGTGATACGAGTGGTTGTAGTTACAGTGGCAGGAGACGTGATTGGGGCTTTGGAAGTGGTCACAGGCATTGTTGTTACAATAGATCCTGTACTTAGTGTTGTGGCTGGAAGATTCGTAGAAGGTCCGTTTGTTGATGATGACTCAAGTTCTATACTGTAGTTGGCTCTGAATCCTGGCATGTTATTGTAAGAGTCTGATCGAAACCAGACCACCATTTCTGAACCAACAGATGTTATAGGTGATGGTACGGTGGATCCACAAAATGTTTGTCCTCCGTAGGTGAGTTGGTCGTTGAAGACACGGACGTAATCCCACTCGCAGCTATCGGACACTTCGAGCGAGAATGCGTCAAATGTGAGAGTGATTCTCATGTTCGGCAAAATAACATCGGGCTATAAAAGGAGAAAATAGACATGAGGCACAGTTTTATGATTAAACTTATATTATTATATTCTATTTAAAGAAAATCATTTCATTGCTCTCATTTAAAAATTTGAATTATTTGATAAATACATGTAGCGTTTTACTCAATCGGAAAGGCGCGCTGTTACGCCGATGTGCGGATAGTACTCGATTCGTAGACTTTTTTCTTTAAAGCTTATCTGCCGTAGTTTATAGGAGGGATTAGACTGCCCTGCAAGGTCACTGGACAGGTGGTTATCTCATCAACTCAGCTCTCAGTTAACATAAGAAAAAGAGGATCATGGGGGACCAATGGTCACCGATTAGTCATTGTTTGTTATATAGAGGGCGCAAGTAGCTACAAGTAGTGCAGTGGGCCTTTAAAGTCTACAACAATAAAGATAGGAGCAAAGGCATGATACCATTTATAGGATGCAACTTCATACCTTGATATGATACATGCAGAAAGTAGTTAAGGGGTAGTCTCCGTTTCCGAAGTTGGGTGATTCGATCGATCCGGAAGCTGTTGTCAGCACGTACTCGCATGCTGTAAAACATAAACATGGGGTTCTCTGGCATAAAAAAATAAATGAAATGTAGAGCTAGGTCTTTCAAAGAGGAAAATGAAAAAACGCGGATTATTGACAGTACAATACCCTACATGGTAAGATTACAAGACATGTAAAGAGAAAAGAAGAACGAAAAGAAAAGAAAAAATCCTAAAATGTTGTTCAAAAGCGTATATATTATCGTCTATTTTGAGCCAGAGAGCGTTAATTCTGTGCAAATTAATATGAGTTAACTCCCTTCTGTCTTCAAACAGTAGTTATATTCCCTTTGATGATAATGGTTAATTTCAGATTATTTGCTGATGACTCAAATCTTTTTCATACTTTTAATCCTAGACAAAAAGAAATTGATTTAGAAATTGTAAGTGAAAATTTAATGAAGGTGCAGGAATGGTGTAATGCAAATGAAGTCACAATTAACGTACAGAAAACAAACTATATGATTATGAAATCCAAAGGTAGATCAATAGACAAAAAGGGATCTGTAAGAATATCAAGATCAGATATTAAAGAGGTATCTGTTGCATCATTTGTAGGAATTGAAATTGATTGTCACCTTTCATGGAAAGAACATATTCAGACAATAAACAAATGCATAAGAAAGAAAGTAGGTATTCTGTTTAAACTGAGACATTTTGTTCCCAAGAATATACTTGTGTTATTATATAAGGCTTTTATACAGCCTCACCTCTCTTATGGAGTAGAAGTATGGGGGAGCACTTACAAAAGTAATCTAAATTGTATATATTTAAGTCAAAAAATGGCAATGAGAGCAATTACATTCAGTCCACTTAGAACAGACTCCAAAGCTCTTTTTCAAAGTCTAAACATTTTAAATATTTTTCAACTTCATGAACTTCTTGTATCAACATTTATGTATGATTTGGTAAAAGGTTTTTTACCACACTCTTTAGTGGATTATTGTCAGATGTTACAGCACAGATATGCAACTAGGAGAAAAGAAAGTGGTTTACTTTATCAACCAAAATGTAAGACAACGCAGGGGCAATTTTGTATTTCGTTTGTAGGAACAAAGCTGTGGAATGATCTGCCAGATGAAATTTAATATTAAAAACATCAAGGTTATCTTTTCGGAGACATCTTTCCACCTACCTTCTATGTAAATGACTTGGGCTCAATCCCACCCCCTTCGTTTTTACTTTTATATTACTTGTCTTCCTTTTATATACGTATACACTTCCTTGTTAACGATTATAGCGGCCTTAAGCTTTTACAGGATTTGTGCATGTACGTACATGTGTATGATTATTTTTTATTAATACATCCTTTTCATTTTTATGAACACATTGATGATTTTATTTCTTCAAAGATTTGTCTTCTTTCATTATAATGCTTTAATGCTTAAGCTTTTTTATTTTTATTTTTTCATTTTAGTAAAGAAAAAAAAGTTACATGATATTGTATTATTTTGTTGTATATATGTAAATACAAAACAAACAAGTTTTGCATTCATATGTAAAAACAAATTAACAGAAAAAAATCTTGCCAAAGAATGGAACTAGGCTCGACTAGCACTTGTAAACTTCTAGTTCACATTAACAACTTCACCTAAACATAGTAATATACATATTTACGTATATATCTGTTGTACATTTAATAGTATGCAGATGTATGTCTAAAAAATATCGTTTTAAAACCATTACTGTTCAATCGACATTACTCTTATGTTATGTATACATGTATCAGTATTATTCTTTGCATTGTATCATTGTTCATATGTACTGTCATTATTGTGATGTGTTGTTGTTAATAAATTAAAATTCAAATTCAAATTCAATCTGTTTGGAATGTAACGGTACCTACACAACACATATATGAAACTATTTACACAATACCAGAATGTCAGTGATCAAGAAAGGACATTGAGATGAACGAAGGGTTTTTTTTTCCTTCAGGCCTTCAAGGCCCCCTCCCTACCTCTTTGTCTCTTACTCTCTGTAATGGTTTATCTCGTCTCAAATTATCTGTTACATTTGTCTCTCTTTGCCCCTCCCTTCCTAATCTTTCTCTTCCTTCTCTGATTCTACTCCGCCCCTGCCATTTTTTTATTTTTTATTTGAATATTATGTCTAGTCAAAGGCATAGTGGCAGACATGGATTATAAACTTACGTGGTTCGTAATCTGGGTTGGTGTCCAGGCACTGTGCGCCTGTGAACTCTTCGGTGCACACACATGTGCAGTTAGGTCCCACATAGCCCTCATTAGAACAATCTAGAGACGGGCAACCTGAGCTACAATTGTATATCATATTGGCGGTTTTGACATCGCGAAAACTGATAGCTGTTCGCTGCCCTATATACTTGATGTCCAGTGGGTTGACCGTTGTTATCGTTGGTTTGGACGTGTCATTAGCATAACTCTGTCCATAGGGCAGGGATGTGGTGATGAGAAAAAAGAGATATATATTTGTACATTTTAATTATTATCAAGGTTCATCAACATGTTTATTCAATAATTTAGAGAGATGAGATATATATTTATTAATCGTTTTCTTTAATCAACTTCCAAAGATATACATTATACTTTCAGACATGTAGGTCTATAGATACCTAACAAAGAACAAAAGGTCACCATTCCAAGTTTAATTAATAGTAAGCAAATAATTACCGTTGGTGAAGGTGATGGGACAAACTATCACTTCCGAGGCGATCTGGATGTAGCTATCTTTCCGAAGCGAAGCTGAGGAAAGGTAGCGTATACATTCTGATCGACGAGGTGATAGTTTGCCATCGCCTGAAACCATAAGGTGATTATTTGCTTTATATTCCACATCTAATACAATATAACTACAAAAAGAAAAGGACGTGTATGCATCTACATAAAAGACATCATGCCCAAATTCACACCAAAAAGTTAATCAGTTTAACCCAACCCCATTGAGGGTACGGTGCGCGCATGTGCTTGTTTTAATTGCGCTCATTGGTAATGCGCCTTTAATTACGCCTGTTTTTAGTGCGCTTTCGGATAATCTTCAGTGAAAGTGCGTTGCCCTGTGTAGATAGTACCTCTATCTTCAGTGAAAGTGCGTTGCACTGTGTAGATAGTAGTACTATCTACACAGTGTAACGAACTTTTTGCTTCTCCCATCAATAATGGGCGAACTATCTTTCATCACGTGATTTACTTTTGACCAATCGTAGAGCAAGATTCTTAGTATGTGGAATATAACACTAATTATCAAACTGTTAATTTCATTTGAAATGTGAGCACAAGTCGAGAGGAAATTTGAAAACAAACCTTTTGGGAATGCATTCCGATCAAGTTATTCTCCAATACATGACATAATTATGAAAATAAAAAGAGGATGCTTATAAATTATTTTTCATCTTTCAAAGAATTTAACCTTCTCTGTATCATGCTTTAAAAGTATCTGAAAGGGTAATTTCTAGATGTAAACAGAGGCCGCTCTCCGGCCCGGGAGGGGGTGGTTGGCTGGGGCGCAGTACGTGCTACCCACACACTTTTTTCAAGTACCCGCAGAAGTGCCCTTGTTTGTTTCGGAAAAGTAGGTGCCAAATTTATTACATCTTGCTCTTTATTGTTGGAGCCCCTCCCCCCCCCCCCCCTCCATCAGACGCTCCACTGCCCCCGAAATGAAGATATTCAAATTCATAGGTACTTACGTAAGCGCGGTAATGCATGATGGATTTCACGTCATAAGGAACATCTGTTATGACATCATCATAGGTTCGCTTGATGTAGTTCCCCAGTTCTTCACTTAGGATGTTCTCCTCGTGAACGACCACGTATTCATCTCGGTCAGGTCGCGTTTGCTCATGGAAAAACCCGATGGCGTGCCCAATCTCGTGGGTTATTGTACCAAACTTTTTTTTGTTTAGGAATGACACAGCAAAAATAATTTTAGAGTTATAATAGTAGTAATAATATTTTACCCAGGGAAGCCTCATCAGCATTAATGCTGTTCTTCCCGAGGGCCTGCAATAACTATCACCCCAGCACTTGCCAGGTACCAATTTACACGTGGATGGAGAGTTGCAATACCGGATTAGTGTCTTGCCAAAACACATTAGTTTCGGGCTGGGATTCGAACTTTTAACTCTCGGATTGAGACTCAAGTGAATGAACAACTATACCAAGACAGAAATTTGACTTTTGATAAAGTCTTTCAGTTACTACCTTTACAAGTAGGGGAGACTTAGAGTGAGGTTAGATGAGCCGTACTCTCAATCTTGTTCATCCTATTTTCACCATTTTCAGGTTTCAGACATCAGGACAAGCTTGCTTTTGACTTTTTGAAGCACCAGATTTGTTTTAATGATAATTTTTAAATACCCTTTGTTGTAAATTTTGGATGCACATGCAACATCAGTCATACAATTAAATATTTATCAGGATCGCCAAGACTTTGGAAAAATCAAACTAAAGTAGTTTCAATAGCCTTGTCCAATACCCATTTAAATTTCCAAACACTACACTATACGATCCGAATATGATTGCTGCCGGATATACAAGAAGAAACGGACATTTTCATTGAGTTGATTTCTCGAAAGTTTTTGCGATCGCGATAAACCATGATGCAAAAAATGGAGAAAAAAAATACAATTTATAAGACTTACAGTGCTGCATTTAGGTCCAATACTAAGTTTCTGGGGTACTGTCGTTACTTTGCCAATATACGACCAACAGCTATTGAAGAAATAAAAGACAGAAGTTGTTATGATGGTAAAGTACTTGAATTACATATTTTCATTTTATATAAAGTGTGACGATATTCGAGCAGTAAGGTGGGGATATTATGATGAAATGAACCTATACACTACCTCAGCGAAACATAGATTCCCTGCAAGTGGTGTTGGCTTTGTTAACGACCTTCAAACTAAGGGGGGGGCGGGGTAACGCAAGTGCCGTGGCGTTTGGAACACTTTAAAATGTCATTCCTCAGAGACTTTTATTGAATTCTCATCATGGTTTTAAATCCAAGATAACTAACAATGCACATTGGTTATTGTCAAGATAATAATGATGATAATAATAATAATATTCACATTTGTATAGCGCTAAATACTATTTTCTAAGCACTTAAATAGGTAAGTCTTAAGACGATCTTTAAGGGTAGAGCGTGTTGCAATACAGCGATGTGATGGGGGAAGCTTATTCCATAATTTGGCTGCTGCATGCGAAAAAGCATTGTCCACATGAATGATGGGTACGGGGAATTTGCAGCAAATTATCACTTCCAGATCTTAAGGTACGATTTGAATTGTAAGGGTGTAGTGAGTCTTCAATATATTGTGGCGAAATTCCATGGAGGGCCCGCTAAACAAGTAGCATAATTTTGAAGTGGACCCTTTTCTGGACGGCTACCTGTCCATAAAAGGGTTCACTTAAAAATAATGCTAGGTGAGGTGAATAGAGCGTAATATAGGCGTAATAGAGGACATTCTCGGTGTGAAAGTATACTAGGAAGGCTTTCACTGGAATTTTGGAGGGATTGCAGTCTGTCTTGCCAAAGGACAGTAGTGCTAGTGCCGTGGCGGGACTCGACCGGTGCATGACCCACAGATACAATACTTACCTAGAGCCTAGGAAGAAAGATAGATACTGGTCATCTTGAAGCTCTTCGGCCACTGTCTGTGTGTATGGTACGAACTTCACGCAGGTTTGTTCTTCCCAGTGTTCCATCGCTTGAAGAATTACAGAGGAGGAGTTACCTGTGATAATGAATCATTAAGGATCGTTTAGATATGACACGGTAAACCGCCACGGTTCTATTTGTGCGTGTAAATGAATGGCAACTGCGTTCAGCATAGGTCTCGCGCGTATTAACTGAGCTCCGTTATAAGATACAGAAATGTGATGGGCATTTATTAACTTAAAGTCTTCATTTGTACAAAAAAACGCTGCAGTTTTGCCGGCCTTAAAAGTATGAAGGGGAGCCTAATATCTGCGCACCTAACATGTTCTTCTAAAGCTTGATCCGATATTTTTCCTCAAGTTGTAAAGAGTACGTATGCCCGAAATTCCAGGAATAAATAGAAAAGAACAATGTCATGTTCCCAAAGAAAGACGTTCATGTCATTATGACGTTGCAATGACAAAGATTCCCATGTGTGCGCGCATTTCATTTTAAAAGTAGATTTAGATATTTTTTTTAAAGTGAATGATAGCATTTCAAGAATTGTTTAATTTAAATTTCTCTTATTTGCCTCGGGTTTTCCCTGAATGCGTATAGCTATAATAAAGATGGAACTTTTGTGTTTGCTGCGCGTTTCGTTATTTTCAGCTGAGAATCGTGCTGTTTGCGCAAACAACCATTATTATTGTAATTCTTATCAATAATTTCATCATCATGTGCATACTCTTCATATTGGTTGTAATATTTCTTTACACTGTAAACTTAGACGCCTGCTTTCAAAGGAATTAGGACAGACAGACAACCAGGCGCGTACGCAGGATTTTTTTCAAGGGGGGGGGGGGGGGGGGTAAGAGGACATTTTTTTTCTCTTTTTTTTGTCTCGAAATTTTAAAAATTTGACATTTTGCTCTATTGGAGGAGGGGGGGGGGGTAAGGTCAACTTTTTTAGGTCAGCCATAAGTATTAAAAAAAAAAAAAAAAAATTATTTAAAAACAACAAAAACAAAAACAAATTACCAAAAAGGGGGGGGGGGGGGGTTCCTCCAAAATACACACATAAAAAATACGTACGCGCCTGTAGACAACTAACATAGCTAGAAGGCGTTTACTTAAGACCAATATCGTGCACATTTTTAGGAGCCCTAAAACTTAAGGGAAATTTAGTAACCCGGGCTGCGTCTCAAGAAACCGTCAGAAGTACAAGTTCAGCCACATCCCATTGAAACGCATGTTAAACTTAATACACGCATTTCAATGGGATGTCGCTGAACTTGTTCTTATGACGGTTTCGTGAGACGCAGCCCAGGTCGCTACTTTTTTAAACCTAACCTATTATTTGTTTACATATGAATATTTGCATTGGTACGGAGTGGTGGAGATCAAAATTAAATTGGCCAGATTCGGGACTATCCAGTAAAAACTATGTCTCAATGATTATGGACAATTTTCGACCTGGGTATAGTCATTCGTTTATGGCAAGCCTCCCAATTTTCTCGCGATGTCATTCATTTTAAGCAAACATAGCTTTGCACTTGTAATTGATGTATGATATCTCATTATTTGATCAATTATCGCATCAGATTCTGTTCGCGTGCATGTTATGAATATTTATGACTGGCGCATGATAATTGGTTTCTTTTGAGCCAATCAAATGCAGCGCTATATATAGGATAGCTGGGTTAGGTTAAACAAAAGTCGCAATCCGGTCAGGTGCTGTTAGGTTAAATTAAATTAAAATATAACACACTTTGCAGCTGTTATGAATTTATAGTATATTTCTCTTTTACAACTAAAATCGATTTGTCAAATCGATCTATGTTTATCTAACAAAATTGTCTCGTGTAAATTGTATTTAATTATAAAAATGTCGTGTAAGATAAATCAAATATGTACACAACAGTTTTGCAATGTAAAAAAAATCAGATTGATTGATTCTGACGTTCCAAATGACTATAGATTGTTATTGGTTTATCTTCGTTATATATATTGATTTCAGAATTTAATATTAAAAGCAGAGTGGCGGAACCGCGACATTTTTTCTTCTTCACGGAGGGGTCAAAGATGATCAAGGTTAGTAAGAAGAGAGGTTTGGTTACACTCCGGATGTTCTAACTTAAGGTTATTTTGCAAAGCATGACACATCAAATTGATGAAAGTTAATCTACTTCCCATGGCGAAATCGTCACACCTTGGATTAAAAAGTTGCTATTTTGCAGCCATCTTAGATATTAAAAAAGTTTTAAATGTCTTGTAGTATACAAATTACATCGCTCCTCTAAATAGATAAAAAAGCGTTTTTTCATATGCTATCAGTAAGATACAACGTAAGTGTTTTTGTATGGGATGAACTCAGCGCTTGCAAAATCATGCATCCTGGCGCGGTCTTCTTTTTCTACCGGTTTGCTCGATAATATCCCACAAGCGGTGGCATAAATAGTATTATATACCTCACTTAAGAAATCCAGCCATCTGATTGGTCGAAATTGCATTCATAAACTTCAACTATTTCTGTAAAATTCCCAGTAACCATGGTTAAAACAGTTCTATAATCCCATTAACCATGGTTATTGGGAAAATAGTTCAGTCTCCATGGTTACCCCATAGGTTTACATGTTAAAAAATGGTCTGAGCGATCGAGGATACCGTACGTGTGCGAAGAATTGGTCGGTAATTTCAATACAATTGAATCTCGATCGATCTTACCGACAATTTTATCTTGCATTGTTGACATGAAGACGAAAATAAACTTCCAAAAACAAAAAAACAACATCTGCCGATACATCTTGATCTAAATTCGTGCCAATATGCAATGCAAAAGTAAAAGAAGGGCCTGTTTAATAGAGCAGCCGCGAAGCATCCACCACGCGAAGCCGTTTTCAATCCATTTGAATGTATATATAAGAAAAAAAACTGCTATGTATGGTAACAGAGCGCTATAACCGAGCGGTTTAAGGCGGTGATTTTAGTTACATCACCTTTTGTACGCAAGAGATCGAATCCCATCTTCGACAAAAGTTTTTTTATTTTTTATTTTTTTTATTTTTTAGTGTTTTTTTTTCGGCATATAAAAGTATTAATGACTGCTTTAATATTCGAGAAATAGTTGTTTTTATACGCTCTCGGGAAGGTTACAATTGGGCTATTGCCCTCGGCACGCCTCGGGTAAAAGCACAATTCTAACCTTCCCTTGAGCGTATAAAAACAACTATTTCTCTCAAAGCAGTCATTAATACTATATTAATCCTCATTTATAGAGGCGAGACCGACAACGACCCGATTAGAAATTTACATTATCCGAGATTGCCAAGAATCGGTCGGTTTGGTCTTTTTCAACCGGTTTGCTCTATTTCACAAGCGGTGGCATAAATATTATTAATCCTCATCTATATATGATTCCACGAGGGCGATTATGTAGCTCACGGGGGCGAATCGCCCACCGCCCCCGTGTATTTTGAGCCTTGCCTCTAACCATTCCTGGCATTAGTTTCTCAAGGGACGTATACATCGTGGTCACAAATCTACAGAATTTACATTCGTTGATAGTAATTATGCTGCATTATTGTAGAGCGCTTAGAGACTTCTGACAACATAATTAGTGTTAGGCGCTATATAAGCACTGTAATTATTATTATTATTTGAGGAAAAAATATAATGTAAATATCATAATTGAGAGACCAATGGTGAAAGCAACCAGAGCAACCAGTGGCATTAACAACTTAAAGTCGACCTTTCAAAGTTAATAGCGATGGAAGGCCCCTCGTGCCCGTATAAATATAAACCCGACGCTGGGTTTTTACCTGGTGTAAAGCCGAGTTTAACCGTGGACCTTCTAAGAAGTAGGTCCATGGTTTAACAATAGAGCTTTATCCGTGGTCTAAGTGTTCACTTCGTTAAACACGAATCAGTCCCTTGGCCACATGCACCAGTTTCATGGCTAAAGGGATTGGATGCGGACCATTTATGGTTTAATTGCACAGCTTCACTACTTTTGTTTGTGACATACTAACATTTTTTATATTTATTCATCTTGGCCTATTACTTTGACATTATTCTCATACAACCTTGGGAAGGACATGCTTGGGTATAATGGGAACAATTTGTTTGCTCATTAAATATCACGATCTTATAACGATAATTAAGTTTATTCCTCAGTCCTCGTTTGGAGATTTTATTGTCCGTATTCAGGAAGTTCTTTTCCACCTTGTACTTGCATAGCTATGAACACAGTAATCACCAGTGGTTGAGTTAGTTGATCAAACGAGATTTCATGTGCAATTGTTTTAAAGAGTATGTATCACTGTGGCATGTAGGTTTCAAAGACATTCAGTCTGTTTGAAGAAGAAAAAATACTTTGTTATGGCAAAGATTCAAGGCTAAACTAATGCATCAATATCCAAATAACCATTAAAGGGATCCGGTAAATTTGTCTTAGATCCGTTAGAAATAATCCTTGATTTAGCTCATGCTGCAATGGTAATTATAAACCTTTAGGTCAGTCAGGAACTCCACGACTTTTACAAGCCGATTGCCTGTCTGATTATCAAGACATTAATGATTGGAATTACAAATTTTGAAAACCGTTCGCCGAACGGTTTTCATAACACTACAATCTTTTGGGGAAAATGAGTATGGTAAAACCGGTCACTCAAAGATTTTTTTACTTTTTTGAGGCACTTCTTGATCATTTTGAAGCGCATTTTTGTTTAGGGCTTCAATATTACACCATATCACAGACACTGATAACATGTAGGGCCGTGTATCTCAGATTTAACATTGTTAAACGATCCCTTTATTAAAGTGCAGTGGCTCGGAATTGTCTGGATTTCCTTATAGAATTCAAAACTTTTTTCTACTACAAATGCAACAAATGTTTTAATGTGATTCTGTCAAAGTAAAACATTCTTCAAATCACTTACTGGCTGATTCTTCAATTACGTATGGGACTGTGTTTTGGAGCCATCTTTTCGCCAGGTCAGCTGTGGCTTTTCTCTTCACTCGCCTTGGTCCTTGGTGATCGTCGGGCGCTGGTTTCCCAAGTAGATTTTCCCGTTGTAGAGGGGTAAGCTTCATGTCACCTTGGAGCTCGTCTGTGGATGGTTCCTCATCAGGATTAGCACCTGGTAACATCGGATCCACGATTCTAACCTGAGCCGGGATCAAGATCAGGTCATAGTGTGGTCCCTTCAGAATCGTATTTCTGGCTTTCCGCTTGACCAACGACCCATGATCGTCGGCAATCCCACCGGGTGCCATCGGATCCAAGTCTTTAACCTAAGGCCGAATGGAAACGAAGGCCTACAACCTGAACATCTGAATACATTTGATTCATATCTTATAGATGCTATTGAGTAGTGGTAAAGCAATTGCGCTGGGACTGGAACTGCCCCGAGGTATTCTATTTTCGAAATGGATTAACATTTTGAATTTGATAAATTTTTGTTGTGTATTATCATCAGTTGAACAATCTTACCAGTTGACCAAGTCATGAGCGAAATCATATTGCACTGAACATCACTGCACATAATTAGGTATAGATCTACGAAACTACACACCCATTTGCAGTTGCTTATCTAGGGATTATGGCGCACGGGAAAATAAACACAATTGTGCTCCTCTCCCCCCCCCCCCCCTCCCCCCCCAAAAAAAAAAAATTAAATTAAAAAATAAAAAAAAAATAAATAAAAAAAAAATAAAAAAAAAAAAAATAATAAATAAATAAATAAATAAATCCTTCTTTAGGGAGAGGGAGCAAATTTAACCCTAAGACCGCAATTAATGCATTTTGGTGGTGGTGGTTATTTTTTACCTGACTGCTAAGAAAGCATAAATGCTTGTAAGTAAGCAACCAGACGGTCGACGGCTTTAGGTCGTCTCCGAGGGACCTGGAAATGAGGACTAATGCCTTACCAAAGGGCACTAGCGCATCGACTTGGTTTCGAACCCGGGCCGCTCACCGGATTACGAGACCACTGCTCTACCGACTAAACTATCGTGCCTCCTCTTGACAATGGAAATGAGCAATCAAGCGGTAGAGTTTCGCATTCTAAAAATTGATAAGCGCTTTCCTTTTTCTCCCTCAAAGGAGGAATAAACATATAACAAAACAAAAAATGGTGTCGATGCAGTTAGACAGGCAACCAATTAAATTCTATTTTATACGCTATGTCCTGTATTTGGGGCGCAATATTCAAATAAAAGCTAATGAAACTGAATTCAATATGATTCACATGGCAACGTTAAATAATTTTTCAAAAGAAAATCCCTGATTGATTTGTTTGTTTGTTTGTTTGTTTGTTTTTTCTTTTCTTCTTTTCCTTTAAGTATTTGTATTATGTTTTCGACTGATACTTTGTAATTATTTATTTTGTTAATTTGTAATATTATGTATATTTTGCATATTGTAAACTGGCCCCATGGAGGACCAGCAGCAACAATTATGTTGCAGCTGAATATGGGCTACCAGCCGTATACGGTCCCTTTTTCTCTGTATGATTATTTTATATGTATTTGTATCTGATTTTATTATACGGAAATAAAAACAACAACAACCCCTTAAAAGCCTTAAACTCCATCCTGTATTTGGGCGCGAAATCGTTAGATACTCTGGAATAAGCTCCCTCTACAAATACGCCAACTGTCGTCAACAGAAACATTCAAATTAAAACTGAAAACTTATTTGTTTCTTTCGTTGTAAATATTGTAATATTTTATTTTACCATGTCTAGGAGCCAATTTTGTTTTTCGGTTTATTGTTGTTTTTCTTTCTTATGTCTGTTACATGTCCTTTTCTCTAAGCGCCATGAGCACCGAAAGGTGGACCTGTGCGCTATACAAGTAGCCACTATTATTATTATTATTATTATTATTATTATTATGAATTGAGTTTGAGTTTGAGTTAGAAGTGTTATTATCCAAACAAAAAGTACATCAATATAACAATCAAATGTGAATGTTTGACATTGAAAGGATAAATGGGACCAGAAAATAGCATCTGGTACCACTAACAGAGAGCAAGGCGATCAAGCGTTAGAAAAAAAACTTAATCCTAAACAAAAAAGTGCATTATACTTCGGAGCACTAATCAAGATATAATTTTTGGAGTCCTCTAACAAAAATATCTTACTGAGTCATGCCTTTCGAAGAAAACAATGATATTTTAGTCATTTTGTGTGTTGGGAAAAAATGACGGCACTGCATCACAGTGACATTACCGATTCAGCCAATTAGAAATTCTTGTTCACAACTTTCCTAAATTCTTGACTTTCTTAATTTTAACTTGTTTGCTTCTTTAATTTTCCCGCTTCCTTTTATAGTAATTTGCTGTTAAGGTTGATTTTCTTTTATATATCCAATTTATTCTATTCATAAAGACAATGAATATGAACGGGTCGAGATCAAACCCCCAAATGTGAATGACACTTCTAATAAAATGGGTAGGCCTACTCACGTCATCTGATAATGGTCTACCGTTCACGGACGAGCTCAGAAAAGAAACGATCAGGAGTACAGCAATTATAATCATCGTATTATGTGTCTTCAACATCTTTATCGAAGTCAGCGTCGACTTCGCCGTCGTATTCTTGTTCCTCCACAACGCCGTCTGCTCCTCCGAATACCAGTTTCTCCCGACATTCTCCTTTTTGTACGTTTGATTCTCTCCCTGGCTTCTGCATGGTGTTCAGAAATGATGCACAACACCTGCAAACATAGACGTCTGGGTAAATAAAGTATGCACGCAGGTAACATGTTTGATAATTAAAGTCGGTTCAATTCGTTTAATTAAAGAATTACTGTTTTATCAAATATAAAGGTTCACGTTACGGTCATGGTTAGTGATGTGGTTTTCATCATAATGTATTACAATTAAAGGTAAACTGTTCCATTTCAACCTGAAAGTCCAGAATTAAAAAATTAAAAAAATTCGTTGGTGTCATTGTGTTGCATGTATGAAGTTTGAAGTTTATTAACAACAACAAAATGTATGTACATCATAAAACAAATTGTGCAAGGCAAAACAATAAAATACAAACTGTACATAATGTACAAAACAATGAATTACTGCAAAAGCGCTTACATGAAACACGTTTATACAAAAGTTCAAGTTGTTGCTAAAAGAAAACCAAAAGTTAGCGCAAGTGCTAGTCGACATCGGTTTTCACTATATATCGATAGTGTATCTCTTCATTAATATAGTATTATACTAGTTCTAACAATTATATTGTATACATTAAAAATACAAAAATTTCTAACTGCTAACATAACATAACATTTATTTGTTCATCAAATAAATTGTGAGGGTATTACGAAATGAATATCTTGTTTTTTGTTCTCTAATCTTCCGATCAAGCTATTCCAAAGCTTCGGTCCAACAAAAGAAATAGTGAATTTACCTTGTGTCGTCCTACAAATTGGCAAGGGTAGCATTGCATTTTATTCCCCTCTTGTTTCATAAGTACAATCCTACAATAATCTGATAATGTGTATGGCAAATTTCTATCATACAAATCATATTCAAATGTTAAAACTGCCAGTTAATGCAAACCAAAAACATCCAATATCCTCGATTGTTTAAACAGTTGTAATCCGGACTGCTCATCTAACTGTAATTAAAGGCCTAAAACTTCTGAGCTTCATGGAGCTCCGCCCTTTACTCCCGCCGGGGCTTTGCCACTGGACCCCACTCCAATTTACGCTCCACTTGCTTCGCTCGCTTTGCTCTACCTGATCGTAAATACTTTAGCCCCCACACTCTCCCCCTTCCCAACGTTTTTGCTCATTACGCCACTGACCCCTCTTGCTCAATATGTTCCCTCGTCCCTCGCATTTCGTCCCCCGGTCATGAAAATAAGTCACCGTCCCTGATTGTAGGTGTTTGAAGCCCTAATTAATTGAAGAGCCAGCTACTTTAAATCTATCCTCTTCTCTTTCGTCATGTATTTCTCTGTTTTTCCTTCAATCTATCCTCTTCTCTTTCGTAATTATGTCCTAATTTGTTTTTCCTAAATCTATATCCTCTTCTCTTTCGTCATGTATTTCCTTGTTTTTCCTTCAATCTATCCTCTTCTCTTTCGTTATGTATGTCTTTGTTTCTCCTTCAATCTATCCTCCTCTTTTTGGTCATGTATTTCTTCGTTTTTCCATATAAATTTATCCTCTTCTCTTCCGTTATTTATTTCTTTGTTTTTCCTTCTCCATATCCTCTCTACTCTCCTTATGTATTTCTTTGTTTTCCCTTTTCTATTATCTTCCCTTTGTGTACGTGCTTGCACATGTACTATATTGCTGCTGGAATTTCTTCGTAAAAATGGCTAAATAGTTGTGTAAACAAAAATATTCGCGAACGGTCGAGGAAGGAGTAAGAAGAAGGCAAACAGAGAACAAAGACGGCATGCATGGAAGCCATGTGGGAGTGTCCTCTTACAAGTCGCTTTTAGTTTCACCCTTGCATTCTTTCCTGAATCACAGTTTTCTCACACCTTGTAGACTCGTGCAGGTTATGATCTTGTGTGTGTGTGTGTGTGCGCGTGTGTGTGTGCGCGCGGTGGTGTGTGTGTGTGTCGTGGTGTGTGCGTGCGTGTAACGAAATAACGTATACAATAGCTTTGGCTATACACTATGAACATGACTGACAAAGAAAGCGGACAAAATATTCAGTTCCTCAGGTAGACAAAGGAACATCCCTTCACTGCTATTATGTAAAATGTGTAGAACAGGTGAATATGCATGTGACACCTGTTCTACACATTTTTACATAATATCAGTGAAGGGATGTTCCTTTGTCTACCTGAGGAACTGTATATTTTGTCCGCTTTCTTTGTCAGTCATGTTCATAGTGATAGCTCATGGTTATGAAATACAAATATGTGAAAGGAAATGAGAGAATAATGGTCGCGCAGCTTAAATCAGAGTTCCCCATTGCTGTCCTCTCTTTTTGAAGATGTTTGCATTTTGTTTTAATTCATTTGAATTTAGAGAGTATTGGAAAAAAAACAATTTTTGTATTAGAGAATAAATGTTAGAGGCTCTTATTTTGAATATTGTATACTTGCAAAACATTCCAAAGATTCAGAGAAAGAAGTAATTTGGGGGTGGGGGGGGGGGGGGTTAATATGTCCTCGTTAAATATGACGTGGAACAGTGCGATAATAATAATAATAATAAAAACGTTACTTATAAAGCGCTTACCACCGAAGTCTCTAAGCGCTATACACACAAAATAGACGGGTATACAATTACATCTGGAAGAAAAAGAGTTCTTATGAATAGTTGATTATGCGAAAAAAAGGTTTTGGTTGTTCGTCAAAATCATGAATCATCTCATTTTTTAATGAAAAAAAATCAAAAGAATGAACAAATCTACACAAAGGTGTTGATGCTTGAAACTAAACGAAGAATGTAGCGCCAGGAATTTGAACAAACGTTTAAATATATTTCTCAGACATAAAACGGTGAGAGTCTGCAGTAGCAATCCCTTTCACTGACATTGCTGCTATGAGAATCTTCCACATGTGAACAAATTAATGAGAAATCTCACAAATCATTCCATAACTTTACCACAAATCAATCGTCTCTTTAAAGATTGACACGTAAATTAATGAAAGCACCATTTACTTTAGATAAATACCGAAATTAATTTCTGATCGATCAATGAAAAATGTTGGCTTTTTAATCAAATTTTAATCAGTTTCTCTCCCGATGCAAACAAAAATAAATTGTTTAACCTAGATATTTAATGTTAATTGGAAAAAGATCGATTAGTCGAGCATACACGTATATTTGTATACAGTAAATAAGTTTGTCTCTCTAAAAACGTTTTTGGGTAGAATCAAATGGAACGCAAATTTGAAATACTTTTACATTTATTGAAATTAAAAATCTGTTTGCTTTACCAAAATTGCATATATTATCGGGAAAATTTAAAAATATTACCTGATTATTTACGTTAGTTATCAATTCTCCTGTATAGTGTCATGTAAGTATCAAAATCAAATTCTAATGTTTCTGATTAATGTATAATTGTTGAACGTCGTACACTGAGTAGAACAATTATTAACTGCTGACCGCTTTCCTTAGTCTACTATAGCTTCATTTTGATATGTGTGATAGGGCTATATTTGCAGATCACTCACATGTTAAATGGAGAATTCAATTTTTTTGTTCATATGGATTTTCACAAAGAGAAATTAGCACCTCTCGGAATTATACGCTCAAACTGCCCAACCTTCCCAATTGAGTGGTTAAACAAATTAACAAATACAACAAAGTTGCTAGCATGGCAACCAAATTCATCGTATTAACATGTATTTTTATGATAACATGGCATCACATATTATGGTGTAATCACATTGTAGCAGTAGCGTACGCAGGATTTTTTCAAGGGGGGGGGGGATTAAAATGTTGAAATCGGGCCAAAAATTCCGCAATGACTCAGCCAGCCGCTGAATAAGCGGGGGGGGGGGGGGGAGGGGGGGGGGGGGGGGGTAAAAGGACGTATATATTTTGTGTTTTTTTTGGGGGGGGGGTTCTTAAAAAATTCACAACGACTCAGCCTGCCGCTTAATAAGTGGGAGGGGGGGGGTGTAAGAGGAATTATTATTATTATTATTATTTTATTTATTTATTTTTTTTTTTTTTTTGGGGGGGGGGGGGTCCCGAAATTTGAAATTTTGACCGATCGACATTCCGTTCCGTTGGGGGGGGGGGGGGCTAGGTCATCTTTTTTAGGTCATCCATTAAGATTTTTTTTTTTTTTTATGTATGTGAGATTGCTTTGCTAAATATAAAATACAAGAACTTTTTCAATATCTTGAAACTATCATCGATATCTGATAATTAAACAGTTATTAAAATAAACCTACCAAACTACCTAATACAATGAAATACTTGACTGAAAGTAGGGGAGTTTGATGTGATGGACAATTGCACCCCTCTGTAAATAATCGAATAGTCCATGGCAATCATGAATATTCATGTTTTTGCTTACCTCGGCAAAATGCTTGCCTATACTAAATGGACAAATTACGGTGGGGTTGGGTGAAATGGACATAATTAACCGATCAGAACTGATCTATGATAATTCATGCTTGTTATCCTTCGTGTGCTTGACCTATAACCTTACAATCACGTGGCAAATTGCGTCCAAAGTTCGACTTGCTTCACATGTGTTATATAGGCAATGGCGAGCTAGCGACCTATTTTGACCAAATTACGGTGGGTGAACGTTCAAAAGTCAATGGGACATGAGGGTTTCAATGGAAGAGCTAGTGTCAACGTGCGTCGGGTTGGATGTGTGTTTCGTTTAAACAAAAAATGAATTTTGAACGATTTTTGTTTTTTGGTGCAAAATTCCATAGGCTAACATGTTAGGCTGCTGACTCTGACGATGGGGGCCGTTGTTAAATGAAACTAAACGGAGCTATATACACAAGGAAATTCAAGGTTATCAAGTCCTTTAATGGTCAAATATTTTACTGTGAAAATAAAGGATTTGCATGACTATTGAAAGGAGCATTGAAGATAAATCATATTGCTTTCTTTTGTAAAATTCATAATTTATCTAAATGAGTTTTAAAGTTGTGACGCCAGACAATATTACAGTAATTGAAATGAGGGACTATAGT